ATGTGGCAATACCTTGAGTCACCTGCATTCTGACAGGACAAAAAGGTTTTCCTCACACACTTTAAGGGTGGTGTGGTGATACCATAGTAATACTGCAAGAGAACCAGTGAAAGTATTAGGTGCCAGTGCTACCTTTGTGCTTTGATAAAGGTGAAGCACTTGACTCTGTTCCTTTTACCCTCTTGGTTGTATTGTCCAGCGATGGGGAGGAGGAGAGGCTGGAGGCAGACCTTTCCTTCATCTGGCCATTCTATACCTTGCTGTATGACAAAGATCCAGAGAGGAATTGCAGTGCAGGTGGGTGAGCCTTGGGAGATGTGGGTGGAAGAAGGAAATGCAGCATGAAAGGTGTGGTACAGAGGGGAAAGAGAACTTGTAGCTCTTCTAGTACTGTCTTGTACTTAGCAACCTTGATGTAAGAAAGAATCCCTTAAATGTATATTCCCAGTGCTCCAGCAGGATTAGATCAGTTCTGTAGAAGGGTGCTGGAGAGAGGAGTGGAGAGACAGAAGAAAGGAAAAATACTTCTGAGTAATTGTTCAGAAGGTTTAATAGCATTACAATCCTGTAATACTTTTTGGGTTTAGTATTCAGATTCAAGTGAAGGGTAATACATTTCAACACTATTTATTCAGGAAGGGGGAAAACCCCAAGTCTTCCACCTACCCTGTGAATGCTCTAGGGCAAAAGCATACTTTATTTTGTGGGCTCGTCCAGGTTCAAGCACATGCCAGGCTGTGCAGCACTGTTGGGTCCATGGCTGGAATGTTCTGCTACCCTGATTGCAACGGCAGAGCTTCTTTAGGCTGTCTGCCCAGTCCAGTTCCCAGCTCCCACCCTGTGCCACGGCTCCTCGCCCAACCCTGACACTGCAAGTGTTTGTAGGACTGTCCTGAAGACTCAATCACTGAAACAGCCCAGATTTAAAAAAACCTTTTAAAAAAGGAAAGGGGGAGGTGTTTTTGGTCTCGATAATTCAGAGATCTACTTGCTATGAAGCCCAATGAACAGCTGTATTTTTACAACTGAAGGGACAGCATGTTTTTTTTAGGGTCAGGAAGGAAAGTGTGGAGAAAGAAACTTCCCAGGCTGCCTTCATCACCAAAACCACTTTGCTGTGTAATTTCAGTGTGGGATGCTGTTTGCATAGAGAGAAGCAGAGACTTCAGATAGTCTTAATGTCACCTGTACCTTCAGAGTCAGGGATCATCTGATCAGAATTTCTCAGACTCCTAATAGCAAAACTTCTAACATACATACCTAAATTCTGTCCTATTTCTTTTCTTCTATGTAGTCCTAAGTGTTTTTTACTCCAGGATCTAAAGAGTCTTTATGACAAGAATAATCTAATTAAACTAATCATCTAACTCGTGGCTCATGCAGTGTGATTTGGCTTTGCAGTGCCTCCGTTACCATTGTTGTTGGTCTTTTACAACAAGATCTCCTCTTTGTGTGATGTCAACATACATGATTCATGTACGTCTTCTTATCCTTATGTACACATTGTATCCTTCAGCTGTAAAATCTTCACTTAGGGCAAAGGAGTGGATAAATGATGTTGGTAGTATAGTCAAAAGTCCTAATGTCTAACTTAATAATGAAGAATATTGACCTATAAAGCAAATAGGGTAAATCTTAAACATCAGTTTCCTGCTGAGTGTTTCAAAGAAGAGGAGCAATAGCTTTTGTAAAGATTTTTCCATAAATGCCCTGAAACATTATTGCTGAAATTGTGGGTTCTTTTCTTAATAGCTTAATAATTATTAAAATGTGTTACCTTGTGAATACATTTGTAATACATGTAATATATGTGCTTTTGAATATAAACAAGTTCTTTTTCCTAGAAATGTTACTTTATCTTACATTATTTCTAAAATCAGACTGTGATACTTGGCTATGCTTATTCCTCCTTACCAAATACATATTTGGGTCCTTTTTTTCAAATGAAAGAAATGGTACAAGGTGCCAGTAGATCAGTAAATTCCCAATTGTGAGCATTTGTTGAACTTGGTTTATAACTCAACTCCTCATCTTTTATTGTCAGAAGGAGTTAATGTTGAAGTCTGTTTTCAAAAGTTTCAGTCTTCCTAAACAGAATTATTCTCCATGAGTTTCACGTCTTAGCTCATTTGAAGCAGACAGATTTCTGTAGCTAGTATCATTATTTTGGAGTTATGTTTTCAGCAGAGGGCAGAACAGGGACTCATGCAAATACATATCTCTCTGTGGGGAGCTATTGGAGCCCTAATCCTCCTCCATTTCTGTTGGTAGACATAAGAGGAAGAAATCTAGCTGAGGCTTTTGTGACCTGCAATACAGTGCACTCCATGACTCAGAAGGATTTGAAAATATCAGTGTTACAATGTTTGTAAGACTGTGCTGTCTGTCACCAGGATACAGGCTCTTCACACCAGTAGCCCAGCCTTTTTAAGCTATTGGAGACAAGAACATGGGTTTTGTCCTGCTGCCTCAAGGGGTGGGTAGCCTCTCACTCTGCTGAGCTGATGGACTGCTTCTGCCAGTGACATAATGCTTGGCTGCTGTCCCAGGACAGAACTCTACAGCCTGCAGATCCTAGTCTCTTTTCTTCACCACTTCACTTTTGATTGTTTGGATTTACCAGTGTGGATTTCACTGAGAAATCATGTCTGTCTGCATCCCTTAGCACTCATGGGAGGGACCTCAGGAGGTCACTTGGTCCAGGCCCTCCCTCAGAGCAGGACTGTTCCTAAGAGTAGGTGAGGTCAGCCCCAGAAAGAACTTTAGAAGGTTGCCTGGCTGAGCCTTTAAAGCCTCCCAGGACCTGTTCCAGTTCTGTACCACCCACCTCCTGAAAGTGTTTTTCTTACCTCTCACCTGACTTTTCCTAGTTGCAAGCTGTGGCCCTTGTTCCTTCTTATGTCAACTGGAATTGCCAAGATAAATTTTGCTCTCTTGTCTTTGTGAGTACCCTTCAAGTAAATGTACTTCTCCCTTAGATCCACAGTTTCCAGCAGAGTTTCTGTATTCCACAGGGGACTGCACTCCATAGACAGTGTCTGTAAGCCCAGACAAAAGTGCAATCCCTAATTTCAGGTAAGGCAACCCTGCAGGGCTCCTTCTGCTGTCTTTTGCGTCTCTCTACAGAGCTGCTCACTAGCTTTGGTGTTCTCCTCATCCCTCACCTCTTGCCTGGCCTCTCGGGGTGTGTAGGGGGCAGCTGGTTTATTTTAAGGGAGTTTTAGCTTACATCACCCTAAAGATTGACTTGTTGTCTAGGGCACACAAGTGAGGAAGCTGGGATTTTGTACTCCTGCAAGGGGTAGACATAGCCAAGTTCTTAGCACGTTCTTAGTGGCTTACATTCAAAGTCCATTTGCGTGCCTTTCTTCTATCTGATCTCCATGTTATGGACCAGACAATACCCAAAGCAAACAAAGAAAAGCTTTAAACGATGTTGTATCTGACTAACAGTAATATGTCCTGGAGAAGTTTTCCGTCTCTCAGGCAGTACAGAATTTACTAAATTTTATGACATAACTTGTTTGGATTTATTGATTTAAGTGCTATCGTTCTCATACAAATTTATCTCTGGTTTTAACTTTGTAGACTTCAATGAAGTTATACAATGGATCTTTTTTCCCATACTTTGTTTCAAAACACTGGAAATAAAGTTCCTTGGACTCTGTTTGCATTACATCAGCTTTCTCACAGAAAAGATTTTTTTTTTTTTTTTTTTAGCATCCTGGATCAATCTAAAGCCTAGGACAAATATAGGATTCATTAAATGCCATTTGTCTTAGAAACAGAATGTGATTGCACCATGATGTTATGTGGCTGAATATATATCTTTTTAGCAGCTAGGACACAGGACCAGGATTCAGGAAGCCATTTGGCAAACATAGAATTAAGCACTTAACAATTCTGTGCCTCATATTTTCCATCTGTAAAATGGGAACAGTGATACTTCTTTCTTTCAGTAGAATTTCTGATTTAATGATCTATGATTATCATTACTACTGTTCAGAGTAGCATCAACTCTGTTCTGAATTGGCTATAATTAGAATGTTTAGATGAATGAAAGCAATTACAGTGCCTGTATGCCACAAACCGTTAAGCCCATTATTAATTTTATGTCTGTAAGTAATTGCACTTACTTCAGTGCTCACATGAGTAAAATTCAGGACGTTTGAAGTCTTTGCAGGACTACAAATGGAAAGCTCTAAGAAACCTTAGTTCTTAAATAGAAATAAATGATAGTAGATGTCTCAGAAATTTCCAGGAAATTTATTTTAACTGTATACTATGGCATATTGTGCAGTGAGTCTTAATTTGGTTCACAAAACTTGATGTTACAACCATTGATGATAAATATTGGCTTTTATATCAGTCAATATGTTTTTGCAGAAAAGTAATCCTTCTTTAAATTCTGTCTACGGTTCAAAAGCTTATTGTTAAATACATTTTGTTAATAAGAAGCCTGACTCATGGCAGGCTGCACTGTGAATGAGTGATTATCAGGGATATCAAACAGACCTGTTTCCATTCCACTGCCAGAACAGCTAACTTTAGAGCTTGTTTAGGAAAGGAATCGTTTCACCCAAAAAATAGTTAGTGTTTTCACATTACAAGGGTTTTGTTTTCTATATGATGACAGCTAGTTATTCAACTTTACTGAGGACAGGGAGAAAGTCACCCAAATACATGTTGAAAGAAATTCTCCAGTAGTGATGGAAAAGCACAGGACTGTGCAAATATGCTAGATGCGCATCATGAGAAGCAAGTTCTGGACAGCTGCAACTGAGATGCTGAGAAGCAGTGAAGCCCAGGGCAAGCTGGGGTGGGGACTGGCTGGTGACCACAGACTGAGATCAGATGCCCCTTGGCTCACTTCCAGAACAGGAAAAAAGCCACACAGATACACACACAGCTTGCTGCAATCTGACAGTGGTGGTGTTTAGCTCTTGGGTACCATTTTGTTTTCCATCCTTCAATTACCTTTACTTCTCTTCTTTATACAGTTGATGGTTTGGACAAGGCTTCAATTGCTAACTCGGAAGGACCAGCCCCAGGATCCCAAACTCCCCCCTTCAAGAGGAAGGGCAAACTCTCCAACATTGGCAAAATCTTTAAACCTTGGAAATGGCGGAAGAAGAAGACAAGTGACAAATTCAGAGAAACGTCAGCAGGTATGTCTATGGCCCTTTGGTGGCAAATAGTAGGAAATGTTATGATGATTTTGCAGAGCTCTTTGAGCTTGTTAGATGGCAGGGATTATTTAGGCATGGTATTTTACGTATAGAAGAACAGTTTGATCCTTGGCAGTCTTACAAGAATGACACATTCTTATAATACCAAGGCAAAATATGTGTTCCTATTTCTCTTACAGAAGGAGGAAATTAAGCACAAAGAAATTAAGATCAACATTTTCAAAAGTGCCTCCTTAGTTACTTGCTAGTACTTAATTTGCTGGTCTTTTTTATGATGGTGTGGTCCCTCAAGATAGTAATTTGCTTTTAAGCTGTGTGTGGGGTCACTTTTGTTTGTGTATGTGCTCCATGTGAGGCTGGAATTTAAAATGAAAAGTAGTTTGGATTGCATTCATCCTGCCTCCAATGATAATTTCAGTGAGGAAAAAATTAGTTTTCCCTGTGTTTCTTGAGGAAATAGACCGAGGACCAGTGGAGGCTGAGATGACGCATTTACATGGCAAGTTGTCCCTTGTTGTGTGCTTACTGACACAGGAGAAGAAACTTGCTTATTTGACTTGAGAAAGAAATGGGAAGACATCCATACAAAATAAAAATTCTACAGGATATCCTCTTCCTCAGACTACTCGATCAGAGATGTATTTACATTACCAAAGGGGGACTGTGTGTATGTGTGTGTGCATCTTACATGCAGGAAGCCCATTTCCTGGCCTGAGACCATGGGAGAGAGCATGATGATCCTCATTTATTGCCTGTTCTCTTAAAAGGGCCACAACTTGGTAAATCTGTATGCAGCTGAAGAATGAGTTTTCTTCTAAGACAGAATATGGGCTGTTGCAAAGAACTCTTACAGCTTTCTCTGGGGTTTTCAATAGGCTTTTTAAAATAGGTTCTTGCCACAGCCTTGCCAGGCCATGTACCATGGAGTGCTTTTTGTCTTATGAGCAACTGAAAGATGTTCATAAACAGCAAATACCACAAACATCAAAAAAGAATGGAGGTTAAGATGTTAGATGTTAGTATCTGTGCTGATGTGGGAATGATAGTTGGAATTTTTTCTTTTATCAACATACTTTCCATGCTTCATCTCAGAAAGTCTGTTCTCTGGGTATCGGTTTTATGCTTTTTGCCTAGAGGGCTTTCAAAATTAAGTAAAACTAAACAGAAAATAATATCATCTCAAGGGTTTCTCTTCTCTGCAGTGTTTTGGTGTGAAGGAAAGGAAAGCAGCAGTTTGTGTCTTGGCACAAAGTAGATGCCACTTCAAAGCTTCACTGCAAGAGTATATGCAGACAGGGAGCAGAAGGCAATTTTAGCTCTTACTAGGTCAGAGAAAAATTAATAAGTGGAATTATCTCAAGCTTCTCTTAGAAGACCAAAACTAAATACTGGAAAATATCCAGAATCTCACAGCACTCTGAGTCAGAGAATAGGTTTTAAGACTGCCTGAGGTTTGTAGCTGCTGAACGTCACTAAGCAGTCTCTTTTGAGGGGATGGGAAGGGAGGGAAGGAAATGTTTGAATGATGGTTGCTGGGTGTGCAGTTGGTACAATACACTTGACTGTGTAAATGTGAAATATATTGCCTAGTCTAAAGTCTGTAATTATCAGTAAATTATAATGATGAGTCCATGCTGCCTAAATAGCACCCAGTATGAGTTCTGAAGTTGACAGGCTACTCATTCCTCTTATACCGTGGGACATACTTTTGGCCACTTTGATTTAAATAAAAATTCTGCCTTTTTCTTCATAGGAATTAAAATTATGATACTCATAGTGAATACTAGCATAATTTCTAGTGGTTTGTTGTTTTTTTTTTTTTTTCCATGGGCCAAATAGTATTTAAAATAAATTATCTTTTCAAGCTGAATTAATTGAGCTTAATCAGTTTTAATAAAAATACCACTCATGGCTAGCATTTTAGATGATGGAGGACTGGGGCTTAAGCTTCTTATCTGTTCACAAATTTTCTAATCTGTGAAATGGAGATAGTTATGTTTCAGGGATGTTATGAAACCTATGCAATTTATAAAGTGCTTTGAGGTCTTTCAGTAAAAGTATAAGGAGTTCATGTCTTTTAATGCCGATTGACATTTTCCTTGATAATTAATTCAATACAGTTGTTAATTGAGTTTTATAGAACCAAAAAAAAAATCCTGAAAACTAGAGAGACACATTGATGGTGGGGGGTGTCTGATTCAATATTCTTAAGCTTCATGGAAGAAAAATTATTGTTTTCAAGAGTCTTTGGACTGTCTCACAGATATATGAGAGATCATTTCATTTCATTGTCCCCAAGAAAACAGTTCTAAAAAAGAAGCAGAGAGAAAAAATAGTAGTAATTAAATTATACTTGTAATGCTGAAATAATAATAATAAAAGAATTTTTATATTGCCAGCAAGAAAATAAGTATAAAATATTTGCATTAAATATTCATCATTGGGGACTCTGTCAAGGGAGATTTCACTCTGCTTGTGAATACATCTGCCTTCTAGAAAGACTAAGACACTCCATCCATGCCTGCCCATGTAGTTGTCTGTCTTCATGACTCCCAGTCTCTTTTAAAAGAGTCTTTGTGGGACTGAGTGTTCCCCTACATGAAAAAAACTCTTTGCAGGACTAGGGCATGCTCCTGTGCCAGTGTGTGACACACAGTTGCAAAGCATATACCTTAAAAATTAGTGGGGAAAAACTGGAAGAGCTTGTGAATAATTTAGGTTTGGGATCCAAGGCAGTCTAACCTGATCAGAATTCCTGCTACCACACTGTCCCCAAGTAGGCTGGCTTATACTGAGAGTCTGTAGCCACACTCAAGGGCTCCTTTATATTGTCAAATGCGGTTTGAATGCCACAGAGGTTTGACCTTTCATGGACAGACCCCACAAATCACTTGAGCATATAGACACAGACTTAATGCCAACTTACATGTTCTTGAGCCAGTACTGTTTGCATTTGTGAGCTCTTGATCTCACAGGCATGAGTAGCTAGAACTGGGCTGGTCAAAACGTTTACTGCCTCCAGCTCTTCTGCCAGGAATTGGTGCTATTTTGACATGGTGGTGCTATTTTGACATGGAAATGCATCCTGTGTTGAGCAGTTGCTGTATCCCTGAACTTTGTAGTGTGAGAAAGAAACCTGGTGCTATAAATTTGGGAAGTGCAGAATCTGAGTAGCTTTTTACAAGTGCACGTAATGGTAGGACAAGGGGTAATGTCTTTAAAATGAAAGAGGGCAGGTTTAGATTAGATATAAGGAAGAAAATCTTTACTGTGAGGGTGCTGAGGTGCTGAAACAGGTTGCCCAGAGAAGTTGTGGATGCCCCATCCCTGTAGCTGTTCAAGGCCAGGTTGGATGGGGCTTTGAACAGTCTGGTCTAGTGGAAGGTGGCCTTGCCTATGGCAGGAAGATTGGAACTAGGTTCTTTCCACCCAAACCATTGTTTAACCATCCCCTTCCCTGGCAGAGAAGGGGAGTGGGAAGCTGCAAGCAGTGATGCCTTCTGTTATCTGAGGTCAGCCAGCCTGGTTGTGTCAGCAGCTGGAGTTCCCTGCTGCTGGGAGAGATGTTTTGCCATGCATGGAGGGTAGCTTTCTCAGAAGAACTGAACTGCCTCTCTCCTTGCTTTCTTGGGAGCTGTCACTTCACTGTATTCACTCCAACTGGGCTGGCAAAAATTAGATTGATAATACTTCTTGCAGTATTTAATCTGCATAAAAGCAATTTGACTGACCCTAGAGAGTGTTTGAATTAGTTGATGAGATAAATAACCCTATCCCATAGCATTAATAGGATGAAGTCCAGCACGGCTGAAGCTTCACCACATGCCCTCAGCTTGAGCTGCAAACATCGCTTGGATTTTGATGTCCAAATGTACACAGAATCAGGATGGGAGACTAGCTTTTCCTAACATTGAAGATGAGATTTTACAAGTGATACTCACATTTTGTGGGCCAGGCACCATGGTCCCATGGATCATTACAATGATCTCCCAGATCACTGTATTGGTTTGGGGCTGGGCTGCAGTGTGGAGCTATTCTATTTTGACATCTGTAAATTCTTTTTCCTGTAAAACTATTTAGCATTTTTCCCATGGGAAATAAACATAATAATTAAAATGCTTCATGTCACAGTCTTTTGTGTGTGTGTGTGTATGTGTTGTATGCTGCTTTTTTTTTTTTTTAACCTAAAAACAGGATGCTGCATTTATTTCCATGAAAGCCAACCAGCATTGATGAGTATGTTATTTCCTTTTAGAACACAACTTTCTGGCTTCTGTTGAAGATTGTTTTTGTTGGTTTTTTTTTCCCCTTTAAAACAGTTTGCATGTCACAAAGGCTTCTCTGTGAGCTGCTTGCTCTGAGCAGGATTTTTCTCTCCCAATTCAACACTTCTACAAAGCAGATGGAGGTATCTCTAGCTGAGCTAGTCTGCCCAGTCAGTAGGAAAGAGGTGCATTTACATGCTAAATACCTATTCTAGGATGAGTTCAATTTCACTCTGGAAGTACCTTTTTCCACTGACTGTAAAAGGATCTTCAAGGAGCCTTGCTCAGTTGAAGATATCCGATCATACAAGTTCCCACTTTCTGTGCCTGAAACTGTGGGATGATATTTTCAGAGACTGTTCATGAAAACTTGGACCACTTCTCCTGCAGAATCAGAGGAATCAGATTTCTCACAGTTTTCATAAAATAAAAATATTTTTCTAATATTCTTTTTCACAAGCATCAGCAGTATGAGAATAAATCTATTCTTAATTGTGCTTTTTCTTTAGTGTTGGAAAGGAAGATTTCGACAAGACAAAGCAGAGAGGAGCTGATAAGAAGGGGAGTGCTGAAGGAAATGCCTGAGCAAGGTGATATGATAACACATTAACTAGAATTTAGGTACTAAGCACTAAACACATATGATAAAGCCACTATTGCCTTGTTTCCATGTAGTATAAATAGGTATGAGGAGACAAACTGAGGAGTGTGAGAGGTAATTTGGGCCAGCTGACAAAGAGCTACACCAGCTGACTTCTGTCATATCCTGAAGTATTTTAATGCTCCCTGTGAATAATGTGACTTTTGTGGTTCCTAGTTTGCCAGAATTTTTTTTAAGTAATAATAAACCTATTTTTTGAGTCAAGGTCTGCTATCTAAAGTGACTGAAATATAAAATGAGAAATTTTGGCTGAAAAATTAAGAGGTTTTGGAACCCCAAACAAATCAATATAATCCATTTTAATCCATTTCAGGTATCAAAAAGTACCAGTATGGATCCCACTACAATCACACAGACCACATTCACAAATGGCACAAGCATAAAACATCACTTGTTTCAAAATGCTTTAAGTTTAGTAACTTGTATTAGACAGAATTTGTATTTTGAAAAACGTGAGTAAGCCAAGGTTAATACCTCTGTGCTACATCCGATTATGTTTCTAGTGCTATTCTTTCTAATATTCTTCATCTTCTATAAATCTAGATTAAATAAAAGTCAAGTGAGTAAAATAATCTTCTGTAGCTTAAAATTTAAACCATTTGTCATTTTATCAAGCAGTCCAAGAACTCCATATTTTCCCAAAATATTTTTCTCCGAGAAATTCTGTTATTCTTTCTGATCTGAAGAATCAGGAAAGTATCAATGTGTATGCTTTGTATTGTACACATAGATATTTAGAAGTAAAGGGCTTGTTTGTTGGCATGTGGCATTACTTGCCTGTACAGTGTTTGGCTAGTTACCAGGCTATGACATTCAGCATAGCTGGTTTCTGCACTTGTCTCTGCTGTCTTTGTCTTAAAGCAAGACATGTAAACTCTCCATACCTCAATTTGTCCGTCTGGGAATTTGTTGTGGTTTTTGCCACATGCTTTACTGGGGAGCTGCGTGACTTTGTCCATTGAAGGTTGTAAATTGCATTAATTGGCAATAAATTGCAAGGTTGTAAATTGCATTTCACTTAGTGAAATGTGTTAACTTCTCATGTTGGTTACAGTCTGAACATAAATCTATCATTTGTGCCAAAAGTATGAGTACTTTGGTCACAGGTGTCCTTGGCCCTCTCTTCCATCCTTAAAAGGGGATGGGACTCTGGATTTTCTTACAGAGATTGAGAAAGTGAGAAAAGGATGTAAAGATGAACAATTTTATCCTCTTCCTCCTGTATCAATCTGATCTGTGTTACCTTCTTTACATTGTGTTTCATATCTGATGAAAATAATAATTTTTAAGGACCATTTTGAAAGAATATGGGATTGTTTTGAAGTTGCTGAAAATAGAGGGGTAGGAAAGAAGGTGGTTGAGGAGTGTGAAGGTAGTTAGAAGTAATGACTGTGGAGGTGAAAACTAAATGAGGAAATTATATGGAGTCTTGGAATGTGAGAGGTAAGAAGTGTGAAGAAGTGACAGTGTTTCATGTGGGATGAAAAAGAACGAAGTGGAAAGTGGCAAGTGCCACTTGGAGGCAGGAGGTGTTTGCAGAGCCAAAACATGAATAAGAGGTGGCAGTGTCACATATGGAGACAGGAGAGAGTGGATTTTAGAATATTTGGAAGAGAGAAGCTGAAGAAACTGAATGTTGCAGTAAGGTAAGTGCAACTGTCAAATATAGTGAAAGAGATCAGGTTAGGAAGGAAGAACTTACTTTTTACACATCAGGTTGCTGTTAGTGTGTGGATTACAGTGAAACAATTATCTTAACCCATGGAGTGCCCAAGGTAGAAGGAAAGAGGCTGCATAATTTTGTTGAAACCAGGGAAGTGCAAACATCCAGGTTTGATAACACACAGCAAGGAAGAGGAGTGGAATCGCCACAGTGGAATCGCCACAGTTAGTGAAGAATCAATGGAGAAGAGATGCCCTGTAGATTTGCATAATTTTTGGATTGACAGCAAGAGAATCCTGTAGAAAGAAATTACCAGAGAAGAAAATCAGCAGCAACTTTAAAATGCATGGAACAGAGAAAGCTGTAAGTGAGCAAGAGTATGTATGTAGCACTTTTCAGGAATATAAGCACAAATAGGGACTAAAAAGAAGTTTTTTTCAGGATTACAAAAAACCCTCAAGCTGAGGTAGTCTGGGTAAAGTGAGTAAAGTATCATCAGGGAAAGAATTTAATTTTCAGAATTTAATAATGGTATGATAAGTGATAAAGAAAGACTTCACTTTGATTTTTAGGACTGGATAATGTCTTTGTGAACTATTTTGGTAATTAACTGGGCACATACGTTCTGAGAACTTCTGTCTGAATTCCTGGCTGATTTACCTACTGGGATGCACCATGGTAGTTCTGCAAATCTGCCCCCAATTGTCCATTTTTGGCACATACTGGGAGGGAGAGAACAGGATGCTTATATGTACAGCCACAAAGCTGTACCTGAAAACCAATATGGATTTCCAAGACCATTACTGCAGAGATGTCCACCCAAAGAATATGGAAGCTTATAGAGTTTCTTTACAGTTCCTTTTCAGAGCAGATCTGCAGCCTTTCACATTTCAGTAAGTCTTTCTGCTTTGCTTGCACGGGATCTTGAAAGCAGAGGGATGCCGTGTATTGTCAGTGGGTTCTAAGTAAGCAGTTAGGCAATAGCTTTTTAATTTTCATTTCAGATGGTGATGTAACAGTAAATTTTGAAACTTCAAATGGACACACCATAGCCATTGGTGAAGAAACCATACAGGAAGAAAATGTGGTAAAAGCTAGTGGAAATAATGGTACTTTATCAGAGAAAGCATCAGCATCGGAAGGAAAAAAAGAAGATCAAAAAGGTAAATTAATGCATTCTTCACAGATCGAGGTTTTTTTACTACTTTAAATATTAACGTGTTCTTCCATTAGCACCAATACACGCTGTGAGTTCTGTACTGCCACAAGGATGCCAACAGAATCCACTGAGAGAATAAGACTTGTGAAACAACAGTATTTCATCTCTGGTAGGCATGCCTTTTACTGTGCCTATAGTAAGGTCATAAAGAGAAGCATGGTCTGAGCATGAAAATGCGTGCAGGGATGTTTGATTTCTAAATTCAGTGTGAGACTGTCCTTGTAGCCTTGGGCAAGCTTTGGTTTCAGATTTTCCTCTTACGAAAGAACACACTAAGTGCATAAGCATCACCTTGCAATAGCATTGTAGAAGTGGCTCATGGGTTGAACATTCAAAAGTGTTTAACCCATTTGAAAACCATGTATAATTTTGCAAGTAACTTCAGCAACTCATTCCTGTTGGTTTTCACTGAATCTTAAACACCTGCAGTCTAGCAGAAACATTCAAGGGGCTATATCACTCCCTCAAACTGAACCTAGGCTATTTATGGAAAATGTATTTTATAACTACAGGGTTTTCTATGGATGAATATAGCAGTCCCAGGGTCCATGTTAATTTTGTTACCTTTTCTCAGATCTACTTTGGTAACAAGAGTTTGACTCATAAAGGAAATGTAAACATAAGTGTGGAAGTATACAGTTTCAAAGACATGTAGGGTCTGCATTTAAATGCAAAGACTGCAATATCCTGATGTAATACCTCTTCCTTACTGCTACTACCTGGCTACTGTTTTAGCCAGCTGTTAAATCAGTTGTGCGACAATTCAAGTTGGCAAGAAAAAGAACAGCGGAAAGCTAGTAGGTACAAGATAGTGTTTGTGCTTTTGAAAAGCTCACTGCAGTATTTGGACCACTTTTATTTTCTTTACAATCTTGAATAATGCACCACTTATTTTGCCTGTCAAAAAGTGTTTTTAAATACTATTCCATTTATTGGATTTTCCTCGAGGAAAGAGCAAGGATGCAAAAGGTCAAGACCTTCTTGGCTGGCTGTTAGACTGATAAGCCTTTTCAATGTCTTCTGTTAAACTCTACCTAGTGATGAATGAGCCTCTGGAGGTTGAGAGGGTCAGTTTGGCTAACACAAAAATTTGAATTCTTCTCTGAGCTACGTAAATCACTTGACTGTAAAAAGTGACTAGATGTCCAAGGAGAACAGCCTTTCTTATGAGATTTCTATTACTTCCTGTCTCCCAAAAAGACAGAAATACAAGATTAGCTTTTGTCATGACATTTAAATACATCTCTTTTGGTGCCAACTAGAACCAGATGTGTATTGGGTCAGGGGAAAAGAGTTATAAAAGTCATGGAAAACGCCTTTAAAATGGTTCAATTTAACTTTTAGGTTAGATCAGACCACTTATTTTATGCACTATTAAATACGGCCTTTTGGAAATGTTAGGTTTTGGAAGTTTTTCTAAGGTACAGTTTATTTGAGAAATACACATTTTTGACTATGCTGAAATCCCCTCTAGCTGACTTTGCAGAATGTAGAACTCCAGTGAAGCAGGAAAGGTTCAATATCTATTTCAAATTAGACTCTGCACTCCTTATACGTTGTGTTGACCTTACAGAGAGAAATTAAAAATTATTGCTCTACAGGAGTAGACTCAGTACAGAAGAATGTGTAGCAATCGCTCCAGTCCCTCTCAGAAAATGAAGAATATATGGAGGAGGGAGAAGGAAAACAAAAAATGAGCAAACCTGGTATTCTGGGCTTCACAGAATGTCAATCTGAGCATACAGAAGATGCAAAACACTTCAAGTGTACTTTTCTGTTTAAGGAGCAATTCCACACATCAGACACCATGTTACACTGTGGAGACCCAGTACAGCTGGGTCATTGTGAATATACTTCAGTTATTCTTTATGGCACATTAAGCAAGAAGGTGAGCCAAACCTGTTAAACTCAGTTGTAAGAGTAAGGCCCACTCCATCTCACAGATATGTCTCACCTGCGGATTAGTCCTGGGTGATTTTTTTATGGCAGATGCAGTAGGTATGCATTATACACACACCCACTGGCAGGAAGAGAGGTCACAGAGCATCAGAATCAGAGCTGAAGCACACACATACCTAGCTCGGTGTCTTCTGCTAAGGCCATAAAACATGCTGGTGCTCCAGATCACAACCCTCTATCATGAGAACTGAGATAGGAGTGAATACTAGCTGACAGTCAGGAGTAATGGCTGCAAGGAGTTCATCTTTAGTAAGGCTAATGTTAGGCTTCCTAAAGTCATCAACTCTTATGTGTAAATCTTGAAGGAAGATATATACCAAGATGTATTTCCATGTTTGTAAGACCTGAAAACAGAATTAATTCCTGCTGCTTAGTAGCACACTGTGCTGCAGTTGCAACTCCGACTGAATGAAAGTGTTCCAAAAATGCATCTCAGCCCCTGAAACTTAGGAAGTTATTTTATAATGCTCTTGTGAAACGATGGTGGTCTTTACTTGCTCTCTTGTTCAAGCAGGTCTTGAAAATGGCCTTCTCATATCTATGATGACTGCTGGAGCCAGAATCTTAAAAAGAACCAGCAATATAGGCAAACGGTGATAATATGGTGAGAATTGGCAGCAACATGCTGTACAATGTGGAATATTGTAAACTGTGTACCCATCTGCTGCCTGTCAGCTCCCAGGTGCCTTTTGTATTTGGTGAAAAGTTCCCTTTGCCAATTTAATAGTGTAACTGTTACTATTTGTAGTAATGATGACAGTCATCCAAGCAGAGTGTTTAAAAGAAATTTTTTCCTTTATGGCAGAATGATAAGAGATTAGTGACAGTTTTACGTAAAACAGGTAATTGGTGGATAAAGCTTTGTTGATGAGAAACCAGAGAATTTATTTTCTGAGATCATTTATTCACATTATGTTTGTACTAGGCTGACTTCTGAATTCTTTTGTTTTGACTAAGAAAAATTACTAGCATCTTTTGCAGAAAATAAAGAGGTAAACTGTAGCTATTCTCTGTGAGTCTTGCAAGGGATACAGAGCAGCAAGTAGACAGGTAGCATATCAAAGAACATTCTGGTTGTCTGGGCAGCAGACTGAACTGTACCACTGTGGCAAGGCTCCTGACCCATGGCACCAGTCTGCAACATGCCCAGAAGTCCCCAGAGCTCCAGGTTCCAGGTGTGGTATAAGCATCACAAAGGGAATCCAAGGAGTCTCTTTGCCTCCTACTCCCTACAGCAGTGTTGGAGAAGACCAAAAGCCACCAGTAGAATAGGTGTCAAAATATTCACTGTTTGCCTCCCTAGGTATAGGGGCATGGCATGGTGATGCAGCATGCATGCTGCACATTGTAAAGCCTCCTGCTACTACGTCAGAGCTGCTTTTCTCCTTTCTGCCTTCCCAAGATGTCTCTGGAACACGGATGTATTAGAGAACCCTGGATTTGTATCTGAGTTCAGTTTTTAAACTTGAGTCTTACTCATTTTATCACAGCAAGCTTACTCTTTTAACGATTGTGGTAGATACTTCCACATTTCATTGTTAGCTTGGGCTTGAAGAAGTGGAAGTTTGGTAACCATTAGCAAGATGGTTGGAAAAAAGTAGTAAGTTTTGTTTTGCATACCATCAGTCAGGTGTATTAGATGCTGCTTTGCTAAATAATTGAATTTCAGGAAGCCAGAGCTGTGCTGCAGGTCTTGTGGGTGACATGCAGCATAAGCTTCTGGAATGTTCCGGACCACTTATAGCAGATTGATCCTCTCAGGTTTCCTCATGTCTTTAAGTGAAGGAAACAGTTTGTAGTCCTGTTTCCAAATAAATTAATGGGCTGCCTGTGCATAATTTTTTTGCCCCACAGGATAATTCTCATATGAGAGCTGGCAAAGGTTCCAGGTCTTGGTATGTTGGGCTCAGAAGTTTCTTTCTATATATTTTTGTCCCCTCTCCTTAAATCTTAAACTTTTCTTTTTCTTATGGGTGACCAAAAAAGAAGATTAGAGGTACAAACTCTGGTCTTATGAGCATGCATCATTGCTGACTAACACTTTAGTTTGTCCACCAAGGAATGGTCTTCAAAGTCAAATTTTTTAGATTCCTTTTCTCAGAGGTCTATTCTTTTTCCCCAAAGGAGAACAAAACTTGTTGAATTTAAGATAGTAACCCTTATCTCCTAGGGTCTCAGACAAGAGCCTGCTTTGTCTCAGAAGATTAATCCTGCAAACCAATCACTGTGAGAGATGAGGCAGGCTTTCCTCTCCCTCTTGTATGCCTAGCTGGCTTCCTACACTCCTGAGCTCTGTAGATCATTGATATGAACAGCGTACATAAAAGGTTTTGGGTTTTTTTGCCTGACTCCCTAAGAATCTCTCACTCCAGCAGAGTTATTTGCTGGCTAAAATTAGTTTCTCTAAGGATAGTATATCTTTGATTCATCACCTGAACTATGTAAATGAGGTTGCATCCAAGTCTTCTTGAAAGGAAAGCTACTCTATATAAAGCTGTATTTGGGCAGAGCCTGTCTATTATATCAGCTGGGCTGGCTCATGCCAGTAGGCTGACTTGAGAGGCGTGGGCTTTCACCTACAAAAGTTGAGCGCCAGAGGAAGCTCCTGACTTGTAAAGAAGCTTTTTTTTTTTTTTTTTCCCCTTTTATAAGATATCCTTATGTGGCTCCAGAATTAAGATTGTATACATTATTTTAATGAATGAACTATTCAATTATTTGGGTATATCTTTACAGAAAGTATAAGGGAATATAGTATAAGGGAATATATACATGCCTCTCACCTTCCAAGTCTCCCATAGATCAAGAAATGGTAAAAGTATGCAGCTGACAGTGAATACATTTTAGATGTTCTCTCCTTTTTGAACAGCTTACTTCTAACACATAGGTTGGGTAGTTAACAATGTAAAATGACAGTCAGTTGGGTTTTTTCCCTTTTTTATTTTGAAACCAGTGCAGAATACCTGAACATGGTAGCTTTAGGTCAGATGTTATATCTGTCCCTTTCTTCCCTCTCTGGTTTTCCACACTGTCTCTGTTACAAGACCTCTTGTGCACAGTGCTGTTGAAAACAGTCAGTAAGATCTGGAAGTTTGTAGACGTGCAGATCTGCTCATCCATCTTCAAGAAAGATGAATTCAAAACTGCAGAGAGAACTGCAAACAGCATTATGAGACAGCTGTTCTTGTTCAGTCTAGCAAAATGGAGCCTGAGAGAGCCTGAGTGCATTTGATGAATGTAGCAAGCTGGTGTATAGCCAGGAGAGAACATGGCTAAAGGACAATGCTGGCACAAGTAGAAAGGAATAAACTGTGGCTTGAAATACAGTTAGACTGGAAATTAAAGGAAGCTTTCTAACAATTAGAATGGGTCTTTTCTTGAACAGAACTTTAATAACAGTAACAGGAACAAAAAATGGAGCTGGTTGAATCTGAGTTTATGAAAAGATTTGTCTGAGTTGATCACCTGCATCAGCACAATCAGTGAGTCCGAAAAAGTGACAAAAGACACCTTGTCTTGCTCTGTGTCCCATGTTTCTGAATGACAGCTTCTTGGGTTTTGGTTAATCGAAACACAGCTCTCTGCATAGTCTGGAAAGAAAAATCGTGATTTGCAAATCTCTTACTGAGTTTCATTGTGCAGGGAGTCATCCTGCAAAAGACAACAAATCATACATTATTTTCCAACCTCCATTTTACATAGCTTTGCTCCACAGAGTTCATCTTCCAGGAGAAGGGTGCTTTGCAGTTGATGTAGATCAGATGCTTGTGCTTCAGCACTACAGGTTTTCTGTGAGGTAGCTTCATGACACTGCTGTAGCTGGAGAAACAAAAATACCAGTACTGTATGACAAAATCCTCAGGTAGAAAACCTTTGGCCTTCTGTTCCTTAGAATTTTACAAAAGTAAAGAAATAAAGTCTTGTATTTTACAATTAGCTTCTGCAGCTATGCCCAGGATCTTCATAGGTCCACTTGGTCCAGAGTTTGCAAAAAGTCCTACTTCTAGTTTGCAGAATAAGTAATCTGATTTTCCAGTGCATATGGCATCTTCCTGAAAGTCATTGAGACTTGGTGACTCCCCCACAAGAGCTGTTATATACTGAGAACTTCGTAACTCTGACCATCACTTAAGTGTTCGTGTGAGAACAGAGCTTTCTTAAGAGTCTGGCCCAAATCACAATTTCTGGGATCAAGAAAATCTGGTCTCAAAGTGAGTCTCTTGAAAAGCTGGCCTTTGGAAAATTTATTCTAAACATTATCGATCCAAATGTTTAATGAGATGAAATTTGCTTTGCTTTCCTGATAAAAGAGTAAAAATTATAGGCGGGTTGCTTTTATAGCAGATGTCTTGAACAAGACAGCAGTGGAGAAATCCTCTCTGATGTGTTTTGGAGACCTTTTGTTAAAGGTCAGCTCTTTATGAACAGATGTCTACACTGAGAAACAGAACAATAATAAAACCACGTTGCAGCTGGTACTGAGGTACCTGGGGGATTGGATTGAACAAATAGAGGGGTCTGAACTGATTCAGATGCCTCCTTGTTTTGGCAAAAGAAAGAGCAGGCATGAAGACCAAGGGTCCATATTCAAGCAGAATCATGTTAGGGAGGTACAATTACAACATAATTGTATCTGGAGTCATTTGCAGACATCAGACCATCCCTGTCACTGTTCAAGATCAAGCCACTGTTGTTGTTTTTAGTTATTTGTATTACTACAGTGTTTCTGTATATTCCAGAAATTTATTATAGTGTCTTACGTAGACGTAGGAAACCACAAAAATTTCCAATGGACTTGCAGTAAAAGAAAGGACACTATGGTTAGACACTGAAAAACCAGAGGACACCAGACCAGGATAACAAGCACAATACTGGCAGCCTAAACATTGTCAGCTTTGGCATCCCTGTAGACGGGAGTTTGAGGGAGGAGAGTCAGTGAATATTCACAAAAGCCTGAGGGGCAACAGAAGAAAAAGAGTGAAAACTGTTTTGCTTCAAAACTTGGCTTGTCATTGGCAAAAGCTGGCAGGTAGGAACTGGAAATCTGTATCTCAAATAAACGAGAAACTTTAGTTTGGGCAAGATCAGAATGATGCTGAGAAAAAAAGATGAAGCTAACAAAGACAAAAATAATAAAGCTAATAAGATGCCAAGAGGAACAATACAGTCAAAGGCAATCATCTTCACCACAGCTTTCATCCTGGCTGTGAGCAAAAAGAATATTCCCTGGTCAAGGCCAAAACCAGGGCATTAGTTAATCAAGGGGAAGACAAGACTCATGAGAGCTGTAACTATCTGAGGAGATGGGATGCTGCTTTGCCAGAGTCTGCCAGTCTTTGATACAATGTACATAACAGTATGAAAAGAACTGTTCTAGATAAAGATGGTATCTCAGTGATGGCAAGGCATTTCTGTTAAAATCAATGTTATATAAATCGCCAGTTCTAATCACAACGGATGTCTGCAAGCAAGATCTTTGATGGGAATGAACGGCTCTAATTTTTGTTTTCATTTATAGTTCTTAGTTATTTCTCTAAAGAAAAAATCCAAAATTATCAGATGGTTGTCACTAAAATGTGTTTATTTGCAAAAAAGTAAAGCTTTAGCCTTTTATTTCATTATATTTTTATACTTTTTTGCTGAATCAGAAGATAAATTCAGATATACATTATTTAATCACATAGTTTAGTGTAGATTGACTGTATTACTTTAGAATATGGTGCATAGTGTATTACTTTTTAATAGGTTATAATTCTGTTTTTAATATTTACTACTATGACTGGAAACAAAAAATGGTAATGGTGTAGAAGTACACAAGTTTTAAATTTTTTCTTATTAGTAAGTAAAATTACAGCATTCTGGATCCATAAGTAAAAGGTGTATCAAAGAATTGTTTACACTTAAAATTATTTTGGATCATCATGTCCTTCAAGATCTTCAAAATACAAAAATATATCTTCTCTTGGCATGTTTGTTATTAATGGAATTCAAATTTTAAAATGTCCTGCTTTTTCAGAATTAAATCAGCTTTTCAACTTCAAATGAAGGTAGGTAGAATTTCACAAGGAGACATTTTTGTTATAAAAGAGGAAACCAAGATGTAACAAATAAGCATATTTCTTTCTCCATCCAGAGTCGTTCTCTGGAAAACAAAGAGACAGTGTAAGAATCTGTGCTTGGAAGAATTTTTTTGAAAGCTGTAAAAGGTTGCTGTGAAATGTTTTTTTCCAAACTTTAGCAAAAACATAGTAGTCTGTAATAGGCTGGAAATAAAGGAGGAAGACACTGGACAGTTAATGTTCACTCCTTCGGTTCATGAAGAGACGTGTGCAAGTTGCTGCTAGTAATGTGGGTGATGCACTGAGTTTGTGTTAACAAGCCTTAAGCCAGAGGTTGGAAAAGCTTTGCTTCTGAGATGAGGAAAAGTCTTTATTGTCCAACACATTATCTGTTTTTCATCTACTGATCTTAAAATTAAAATGTGCTGCTTGTCTCTTGGGAATCTTTTACATGTGAAGGAAGAGAGATAGGAGTGTCCATTTATTTTGTCTCCTTTCTTCCCCAACCATTTTAGGTTTTAGTAGCATACAAATAAATCCTATATGATTCTGATGGCACGCTCTTGCTTTTATAACATGCTTTTTCAGAAAGGTTTGGGAAGGCTATTGTGAGACCGAATGGGCACAGAATTGGTGTAATTGAATAGATAAAGATTCCCATGTGGGGACACCTAATCTTACAACCACAGTGATTATGTTTGACTGTAAATGGCTCACCTACATTACCATTACAGCTGGCATTGGGCATGCATTTTGAAGTGAATTTCCTGGTCATCCCCAGTTACCCTTCTTTGGTTTGCAGGGCACATAAACCAGGTTTCTTTTGGATGAAACTAAGCCAAAAGGTGCAGTCAGGAACTTTTGCTCCCACCACCACCAGTCGTGCAATTTCCTGATCTGGCCTGAAGACAGACAGTACAAAGTCAAGTCTCCTGGAATGCACACTGTGGACATTGGGCCCTCAGTGCTACCTCTTTCACTCTACAGAGCCATTCCTATTGCACAATACAACGTAGATAAAGTCCAAATTCCTGTTGACTAATGAACTGTTGGTTCTTGGAAGTGCAGTCGTGTAACAGTACCCAAAGAACTTGCAGGAGAGGAGAGTATTCCCATGCCAAATGATACCCTGTCTGATTTAGCTGCATCTGTTTCTGAAGAGTAGAAATACCCTGAGGAAGTTACCCAAAGTAAGTTGCTAACAGCAAGCAATCTGCAGCTTAGGAGAATGGGTTGACTCAGGGCAAAATTTCAGCTGTGTAACCATATTTGAACCTGTGGCTGACAGAATGGCCCTGTTCATGTTGATCTTGGGGTGGGTAGGGCTGAAAAGAAGCCAAGGAAATTTGTTAGAGGAGTAAATGGCATTTCCCATGTTTAGTTTGCAGCCAGCAGTCTGCTTTAGGATAATGGACATAAAGATGATCCTTGGAGATCTAGAATAAATGAGTCGGAGAGAAGTTCCAGGTAAATATCTTCTGTGAGAAGGACTTCTTTAAGAGGCAGAAGATTAGGTTTCTCCTGATTCCCGAGAGCTCAAGCAGCAAAAGGAGTCACTCTTGTGGGGCTTGCTGTTGAATTTCCATGGTGTATGTCTGTGTCAGTTGGCTTCTGTTCACTTTCTTATCCATAGAGAGCACTACTGGTCACTGCCCAGAAATACCGACATCCCATGCTCCACCACTACCCAAGCCTAAGCCTAAACCTAAAAAAGCTCCACTGCCACCAAAAAATGCCATTGCTGCTTCCACCACCACCAGCCATAAGGGTAATGAAGCACCTCATGCTAAAAAAAAGGGAAAGGGTCCTGCTAAGCAGCCTCCTCTCCCACCGCCCAAGCCGACAGGTCACAGTGCTAATCAAGAAGCTGGTGAGTACTGCCCATGCAGTGCCAGTTATGGGGGGTGCATGTGCATGAGGGAGCTTGGCTTGGTCTTGTGATAACTCCTGCCTTTGTACATAGTAGTGTTACTAAAGAGCATGCCATGGATGTTTTTAGCTGGCTTCCCACTGAGCTCTGGTTCTCCTGTCTACAAACACCCCAGACAACCCCAGACAGATAATTGTGCTGTTTCATGAATGTATGCACAACACCAAGCATATCAGAGGCAATATTGAATTTTCAGTTCAAGTGTGAAAGCTGGCAATGAAATGACCCAGAGAACTGCTAAAGAGCAAGAGGAAAAAAGGTGACTGCTTTATCACATGAGTTGCTCCAAAGTAAAATGACTTTGTTATTGCTATAACTTTCTGCTGGACATATCACCTATTCCAGTTAATTTGACAATATTACAAGATCACAAAGAGGTAAAGGACAAAACCATTAAGACATCTTAAAAGACTATTGAGTAGCAGTTGGTTTAGCTCAAAAAAAAAAACAAAAACACAAAAACAAAAACCAAAAAAAAACCCACAAAGAAGTAAAGAATTACAACCATTAGAAATGAGCAGGTCTCCCTGAGCTGGTTGATGGCTTGCTGTGATTCTGAGCACTGGAAATGGAAGATGTCAATCCTCAGGTACATCCCACATGTATTTACCATCACGCTTATAAACTAAAAGTCGGCAGTGATGCTAGATTAAAGATTATAGGTAGGTGTTCTTAAGGTACTGATCTTGAGTTTGAATGGTTGCAATCTAGACAGTGACCAAAATTAAAACATCCAGATATGATTTGAGCACAAGTAGTATTGTGATGAATGGAGTCCATATATGCATTGGAAAACTTAAACAAACCTTGTGTTTTCAATCCTCTGTCTATCTTTGAAAGTCCTTCTGTCCCTCCAGTTTTCTCTACAAATATGCTGCTTCATAGCTTGTGCATTTTGGCACATTTTGTATTTGAAGCATACAGAAGAGGACTGTTTGAAAACATTGCAAGACTTCTAGAGTTACAATAATAACTTTTCCATAAAATACCCATTAACTTGGTATTAACTGTCCCTTCTACATCGGATGACTACAAGAATAAACATTTTGGAAATCCAGAACTTGCTGCTTTTATTTCACATGCAGCAGGAAAACTCAGCTCTTCCTAAGTGAATGAACAGCAGACCTTTCAGAAATAAAACAATCCATCACATAAAGCAGTGTTTATACAATTGGGTGGTAACAAGCTGTCAGGTATCTGACTTTTTAAATTAAAATACATTCAGATTCCAGATTTGTCTTTTAGTAGCCCTGCCGAAATGTCATGCAGTGCTTGAGACCATACAGATGTAAAATATATCCACATATCCCTTATTCTACTGGTAATTTCTTCCAACATTAAAAATACATTGTGTTCATTCAAAATGGGGCAATACTTAATAAGTATACCTGATTTGGAACAGTATTAGTAGAAGAGGTTTGTCAGATCCCTGTGGAAGTGATCGCACGATGCAGCCAGTGATCCAGTCCTGTGAAGGAGAGGAGGAGTATGAGTAACAACCTGAGCCATGGCTCTCCTGAGGGCAACACAGTAGGTTTCCAAACTGAAATAGTGGAATTGGGAGAATAAGACTTAAATGTAGGCATGGATGTGTGCCAAAAGGCAAATAAAAGTCATGAATTTTTCATTTAATCAAAATTCAAATCTTCTACTTAAAAAGAAGCATGACAGAAAATTGTCAGCCAGCCCAGTCAAAAGCAACAAACAGCAATAGCACTTTTGACCCATGTGGAAGCGTAGGGGGGTTTTCTGTGGGAGAAATCTTTCAAGTTTCTGTTTCTAATTGCAGGTCCAGAAAGGTTCTGAGAATAATGTAAGGATTTTTACAATGGAAACATCTTTTGACATTTTCCCAGCAACAATTGTGTGGCTGTGTATTTGTATTATGCTGCAGTTTTTAAGTGTAAGCATGTAAATGGTTCTGTTGACCTCCAGCCTGCACTGAAGTGCTTTGCTGGATCAGAACCAGAGCCTTTTCTTGCTACCATCCACTTTCTCAGTAAGGTTTCTGCTAAATAATATGCAGGTTGGAACCAACATCTCTTTCCACTGCAATTATGAACTGCTGCCTATACAATTTCTCTGCTTCATTTTGTTTTGCTTGTATGTTAAATCAGTGATTTATTCCCGATGTGGAAGATTAGTGCAGTATCAGTAGATTCAGGATGCTGCCCTTTACAGTCAACCTTGCAGCAGGAAAAAGAACAGTGATTTGCCCAAAGTTTCTATGGATTTTTCCAGATGTACTGAAAGCCTTAAGGCTCTCTAAGTGTTTATAAACCATAACACTCAGCTACAAAAGACAATGGTATAGTGTGTCTTTTGAATTACTTTTCATCTTGGAGATTGAGAACAGTCGCACCATGAAAGCTATTTTTATGTCATGAACTTACTGTAGCCAGTATCTGTATTTTGATTTTCTCCTAATCTGCCAGGGTTTTGTTTTTATTTAAATGCTTATAAGTAAAGTAGGCCTTTCAGCAGATTTCTATTACAGCTTTCTGTTTTACTCGGTAAGCTTAGCTGCAAGGCTGCTGTGTAGCTTTATGATGCTTTCATTTGTTCTCTGGAGGTTAATGCATTTTTACTGCTGCAGAAGTGGATGCATTTTGATGAGAAGGACTGAACCATAAGATGTTTGCCATTTTTATTGCTTTTTAAATGAAAGTCAGAAGTTTGAAGCACCCAGCTCAGAGGATGGAATGCACATGAGCAAGCAGGGTAGCTGAAATCTCTTGTGAACTTGGGCATTATACATATATGCTTCAGTAGGGTGAGTATCACAGGATTAAACAGCAGCATCACTGACCAGCTTGTACAGCTAGTGTCAAAACCTTGTTTCACTACATTTTCAATACTGCCCGAGTTGGTCTGTGGTAAGACAAAGACCTTCAGTGCCTACAGGAGGCCTTCAGTGCCTCCTGCCTTCTGATGGTCATCTGTGCAGAGTCAGATTAGTGGTTTCTGCCTCTGTTTTTTGGATATATCCAGCTGGACTTGAAAGTACATCTTGTTTTGCTGTCCGTCTGCTGTTTGCCATTAAGTAGGAGTACACCAGTTGCAATAACATTGTGAATTGATTGATACCTGTAACAGTCCTCAGATGTTCACCTAAAAGCGTAAGAAAATTCAAATTCCCACTGTTCAGACCAAAAATTCATGTACTAGAAAAGGTCAGGCAGTTTTCTCTGTCAGGGAACGGGTAGTGGACATTTTAGATGATGTCCAGGCAAGTTGTAGTGGGCCCATGCAGACTGCTCAAAACAAAGTCTCACCGGTTTGTAAGGCCGATCCTTTCCACTGTTCTTTGGCAAGTATTCATCGTTTCCGTTTTTACCACGTGAAGTTGGAATTGCAAAGGTGAAATTGGAATTGCAACATTTACTCATCTCAAGCATTTAGATGAAGGACTGTAGAAGTATCAAGTGTAATTTTTTTCCTTTCTTTAAATATCAAGTCAACCCATGCAGAAAATACAATGCAAAAATCATACAATTTAAAGACTGTAAAATCCTTTTTTCTTTTCTTTTTTTAGCTGGTTCCTCTCATGCAAAAAAAATACCAGACTCCAAGTCTTCTTCATCACCATCTCCTTCATCCACATCATCTCATCCCAAAGCCTCTAAGGAGACTTCCAGCAAATTGGGCACATCAGGGACTCCCAGGGGCAAGAAAAAACCTGGGAAACAGTCGACCCCACGAACAGCGCTGGATGGGGCTGCCTCTTCCCCCTCAGGTGCCACAGCCAACAGTTTGGAAGTGAAGACAGAAAAACCCAAGGCTGAGCAACCTTCCACAGTAGTTTTTGAAACAGAGGACGCAGACCAATCGAGCAAGCTTATTGTACCCCCTCCTCCCACCGCTGCCCCTCCTCCACCTCCACTTCCACCTCCTTTCCTTGCTGCAGCTGGTCAGCCTGCTGTCTCCTCAGATGCCCAAGATGTATCAGACAGCTGTGTGGCAGGGCCATGCAGCCCCGGATCAGATCCTAAACCCCTTCTCCAGACTGAGCATGGCACAGATGAGAGTCTGAGCAGTCCAGCCCTAGGCAGCGGTCCAGATGCTAGTGGAGAAAACACAGAAAGGTAAGGCGGTGTTGCTGTCCTGGGTGAGTGGTAAGACCCACTTGGTAGGGCTGAGGAAGCCACGTTTCTTTGCAAGGGACACTGTAGGCACACAGGGATCTCTTCTGTTTCTTCTGCTGACTGGTAATAGTTTGTGTTGCATCACAGCACAGTTTGTTCTTTTCCATCGCCTTTGAGCCATTCACCTGCAGTACCTCATGTTTCCCCAGAAGGTCATTGCTCATAACCTGCCTCTTATATCATTGTTTGGCTGACACTGCTGTCAGCAGTTCAGCTCGCAGCTGGTGACACTTCTATTTCTCTCTCATAAAGGCAAACAAGAAATGATGCTGAATTATAAGGCGATTTACTTTTTTTTGTGGATGTCATTAAATATCTCAGTGCTAAAGCTCTCAGTTCAGTGGCTGAATTTACTTGCACACTTGAAAATGAGAGTTTCACGCTCCAATTAGTGGGTGTTTGGTCTGTCACTGCCTAGTAGCTTGTCTAAATCTCAGGTACTGTAAAAACTAGTCAAGAGAAAGGGTGTAATTACACTTTTTAAGCAATACGGTTGGCAGCAAAGTGAAACTGGCCTAATGATTTATCTTTTCCCGGCCACAAGAAACAGCATCTTTTATATAAACCTAAGAGAGTTTAGTCTAGATGCCAGTAGACTAGAGACCTTCCTTTAAATTCTTGCTGGTACATTTGTGCCAGCATTACATTCCTGTGCTGCATCTCCCCTTGCTCTACTCTTCTTTCACACAAAGATTTTCCCAAGGCAAAGGGCAGTCTGCTGCCGATTTCCATGTTTGTCAGTGATGCTCGTGAACATTTTGGACTCAATTTCGGTGAAACTGTATTTACAATAAATGGGGTTAGGCTTCCAGAAAAGAAAGCTTTGCACTCCCATCTGCTCTCCAACTTGCTCCTCTCACCCCCGACTTTATGAACTTTTTTCTTTTTTTTTTATGTGCTTTTGGTCCCATCCCACAAGAAATAAAAAACAACTAGGATTTGTCTTTATACAGTCTTTGCATCACGTCACTTCAGAATGTTTGAAACCTTTTTCCTAACATACATACATACATACATATACACATCTGCATATGTTATAGATGTTTTACATATGTACATTTTTTAGAAAGGTATTAGTAGGAATAACAGAACTTTACATACTTGCATATACAACCTGTCTCCCATTTGTGTTCTGTTCTGCTTGCATTAATGTATCACCATCTCTGCTTACAAATTAACAGCTTGGCTACGAAAGAAGACCAAGAAGTGGAGGCTCCAGACCAGGCACACTCTGAACCAGTGGAGGAGGCTGCTGGCACTGCTGCCCCTCCTGAGAGTGAAAGTAGCAGAGAGAGCCATGGCAGTGACTCAGACTCAGACGGGCCGATCCTGTACACAGATGATGATGATGATGACGATGATGAGAATGCAAGTGCTGAAAGTAAGCATCCTGCTTAGCTTCTCAGCTGCAGGCTACCATTTTGCAGATTGCATTATGTGAGCACGCATCATGTGACCCACGCTAGTGTGAACCAAAGAGAGAGATGGCTGCAAGGGATGGTTTTAGGGGATTTAGTATTCTGTCACTACTGAGAAATGAGTGTCCTGCTTCTCACAGACAGTTGTGATCAGAAACCTGATGGGGCCTGTGCGTGGAAGAGAGCAGTGCGCAGATGGGAGTGGAGGTGGAAGGAGCAGGTTCAGAAGAACATGAGGGTGGAACAAGGCTTCCATGTTACAGCATCAGAAGCCACTGATTTGGCTCACCTCTGTCACGAGTTCCTTGTGTGAGTTACAGGTGTGGTGGATGACAGAGGAAGCCCATCAGTTGGCAGCTTGACTGTCTGAAAGTCGTTTGTTCCTCTTTGATCGGGATGTTTTAAGCATTGGAATGACCTTAGCAGACAGAGCAGATCACAGTAGTTTACATCTGAGTTTTACATCTTTGAAATTTCATCTGGGGTCATGACTATCATCACCCTAATTGGGCAGAAGCCCTGCAGCTGCTGAAGGGGTTGTCCTACCCCTGTTCTCACTAATCCCTGCTCCCAGGTGTTCGCCCTCCCCTTAGGCCAGCACTCAAGTTCATTTTTGCAGCAGTGGCTGTTGTTGAGCTGATTTTCAGTAGAACTGGTGGCTCCCTGATCCAGCCCACCCAGTGGCTGCTCCTTTGCTTGGGCAAAGAGGTGGCAGGAGCAGGCTGTTGAGGTGGAGAGGAAGGCATCACTACCTATACCCCCTGCAGGGTGGCCATATGTCAGTATAAAATCACCAGTGAACCACAGCTTGAGAGCCTTGCTCACAGCTGTTCCGGAGGAGGTGCTTCTCTGTGCTCAGCGAAGAAGTTCTGAACACTGAAATGCTGTGTACCAAAGCGGGGTGAGCAAAAATGAACGTGTGTTTTTTATCTTGGTCGCTGGAGCAGCAGAAGGTGAAGTGCCAGGTAGCTCAAGAGGCTGAAGTCTTCCGCATTTCTGTGTTGAGTTTGAATACAATCCAGTGTGATAGAAATTCATGTATTCAGGTAGCAGCATGATGTCTTATGAGAAGTGAGCTGACAGCCTGTGGTCTTACCAAACTGTCTTACATGGTGAAAATCTGCCAGCCTAGGACATATGTAGCCCACCTTGGTCAGAATGTCAAGACACAAGAGAAAGACTATACAGGGTGTGAAAATACCCTTTCTTCCACAGCTGGCTGGAGCTAGTGCTGACAAAACTGCAAGGCCCTTGTCCCTACTGTGTCAGTTTTATGGATAAACAGATTGCTTCAGTGTGTTGGTGTTACTGCCTAGGTTACTTTACAAGCACTCAGAACACTTTTGTAAGCTGTATTTTTTGTTTTAATTTACAAATAAGTTTAAGATGAAAAGCGCTATAAAAGAATGAAGTGGTATTTGACTGGAAAAAAAATTGAAAGAATGAGGGAAATGATGATAGAATGAGACTAAACCATTTAAGACTGAAGAAAAAGAGCAGCAGGTTGCTAAGTATACTAAGTAGATAAATAAGCCATCTGTAATGTATTAGACTTCAAAGACACTTAAGTGTAGATTTGTCATTTTTATCCTATCACTTCTCAGATGACAAGTGATGTTTGTATCAATTTGGCTGGTGGCTTTTTCCTCCAAGCCCTTTAGCTTTTTATTTTTGTGAACTGAGCTAAAATTTTTCTTTTGATGTTAATTAAAATTCCTCTATGCATGTGGGAACAAGGTTGCTTTGGGGTGGTATTAAAGTTCTTACTCAGAGTTTGTGTCTGTAACCTAAGTATGACTGAACTAAATCTACCCTACTCCTTTTTTCCTCAGGCTCTTTGGCAAGTAAAATCCGTCGTAGGGATACTCTTGCTATCAAACTTGGCAACAGACCATCTAAGAAAGAATTAGAGGACAAAAACATCTTGCAGCGTACATCTGAAGAGGAGAGGCAGGAAATCAGACATCAGATTGGAACGAAGCTAGTGAGGTATCAGTCGCAGGGTAAATGTGGTTTTACTGGGTGGAGGTGGAGGAAGAGAATTGAGAACACTGGGTTCATGTTTTAAATGGAGCCCAATATGCAGTGCAGAATCTTTGTGGTATAACTGTCTGGAAAACAGTAGTTTTATTTCTCACAAAACTTTAAAATGTCAATAATGCATTTTTTGTCCTGCAAGGAGCAAATCTGAGAGGTTCTGGGTTTTTGGGTTGTTGGGTTAAGAAAGGAAAGAAGAAGAGGGTAACAATGAGTCCACAATAATCAGTGCTATGGTTCAGGTTTTTTCTCAGATTGGTTGGCAGGAACTTTCACTTGTATGTACACTCATCTCAGACAGAGTCGTAGTTCCTGACATACAGAGCATGCCTGTGCATGTTTGTCCCTTCTGACCCTCCCCATCCTCCTCCTGCTCTCTAATTCCTTCATTATTCATGTGTTGGTTCCAGCAAAAGAAGTGGAAGGAGGCTGACTTTGCAGGTCAGTGTCTCGTTTTACTGTGCCCAACTCTGAGGCATGCCTTTCTCATGCTGTTAAACTGCTATGGGTTATATGTTACTTTCTCTTTCTGGACCTGAGAACATTGCATGAAAATATTTCACTTGCCTTTTTACAAACTTATTTTTAAAAAATCCTTATGTTAATTTGTGATCTCTGAGAACAGACTACAGCATGTCTGTATTTTGCCAGACCTGTCCTTGTTTCTCTTGGGTTCAGGAATGTTGTCCAGACAGATCTGGAGGATGTCTTGTGTTTGTTGGACATTTACAGATATAGGATAGTCCAGTTGGTACTGCTCCAGTACAGAGTAAAGCAGCTCTGCATCAACATGTAGAAGCTGAGTTTGTCTGTGAACTGGGAGGCTGGCTAAGGCAGCTATTTAATTACTTAACAGTAAGAGTGATACATCTATTGTGTAGAGACCAAAGGTCACTGTTCTTTTACTAATAAAGTGGTGTGGTTGTTATCACCGCTTTCCTAACCAAATCCCAGCTCCAGTGATCATATCCTGCTTGTCAATGATCTTTTGTGGGCTGGAACTGCAGAAGCTTCTTTGGTTCCTGCCCTGAGCTCCTTGCAGAGGGACATTGTGGGTTCTTCTGGAGAGCTGACATGCTCCTTACACAGCTCTGCTTCGGTGGCAGGAGACAATGTCTATGTGTGTCAGGGCTGTGTTCCTACTCAAAATCACAACCGAGTTTGACACCAGTTCCTTAAAAATTCCCAACGTGGTGGTCAACACTTGGCAGCATCTAGGTCTGGTAGGAAACTCTTTCTACAGCTCAGCCAGGATCGGGGTTTGCCATTACTTTGGGACACATCTGGAAGTCCAAGCATGATTTGAATTGGATGAGTTTTGCAAGGCTGAAGACAGTTCATAGTGAAATGTGTGAGTGTTGCTGGACAGAGAAGCACCTACCTTTGACAAATCTGCAAAATAAGTTTTACTGCTGGAATTTTTCATGCTCCTTTTCTCAAGTGAACAAGTGAACTTGTTTAGTAAACACAACGACAACATCAACCACGTTCTCTACTATACAAACCAGAAAATTAAAATCTCAATTTGGTTTTTTGTAAGGGCAGTTTTTATAGGTAACTAAATAAAATTAAATTTCAGTTAAAGCTCCCAATTCTATCGTACATACAATTCAGCGACAAATGAACAGCTTATGGGTTTTGTTGTTGTTTTTTCCTTTTAAAAATAATAAGATTTGCATTCAAAATATCTGATAATAATCTTAGAATTGCACTACTTATCATAGTGATGGTGCTTGGGAACAAAAGAAGACTTACAAATTCTTTCATAAAATTACACCTGTGAGGAATTTTTATTTGTGGTGTAATTTCTGTAATATTATTCAATTATCAGTTATTTATGTGTTCAAGTGACATCAGTACATCTTTTAAAACGAACAGCCACTCACCACTATGGTTACATGCGCAGTTATTGTAACTGTCTGGAAATGACCTGTGCTGGCAAAGAACAGCACAGCCGTATGAGAAATACCTTTTACGTTACAAAATGTATTCTGTATTACAAATTGGAATTTATTACTTGGATCTGATTTTAAATCAGTCACTTACTTTGTTCTCACAGGAGGCTTAGCCAGAGGCCTACAACTGAAGAGCTAGAGCAAAGAAATATCCTGAAGCGTAAGTATTTTATTCAGGTTTCAGCTAGTATTTACTTAGGAAATAAGCATATTTTGAATTCATCTGGAAGCCCATCATTGTTGCTGCATTATTAGATCCATAACTGGAGAGAAATTTTGTTCTAGAAAATAATTTGTCAACACTAGATCTATATACTAACCTGTAACTGTGGCTGTGAAAAGAGCATATATTCAATACGCCCAATTTTGCTTGTCACAATCCCACTTATTGAAGGTGGTCCCAAAAGACCAGGAATGACTTAGATACCCCTTAGAAGTAGTTCTAAGCTGGTTGACTTTCCACCTAATTTTTATGAGGAGGAGGAGGAGGGAATATCATTAGGAGGCAAAGGTGGGATGTAAGGGCAGAGGTTGGAAGGAGGAGTAGAAAGAGGTAAGGCGAAGTGTTCAGGAAGAAGACAGTAGGTGTATGCCAACTATTTCAGCATGCTGGCCTTCATATTCACTTCTGACATGAATGTTTTCTGTACTGAAACCTTCATGAGACATTCTCACCAAATATCTTCCCATTAAATCCTTCCTCAATATCCCTGCTGGAAAAAAACTCTGTAATTCACATAGTCAAGGGCAGAGGAATGAAGTACATTGGGTGTTTACCCTGTATATCTATTCTCCCATTTACTTATGTTGGTTTTGTTCTTAGGCTGGCAAACTCTTCAGAACAGGAAGTTTTTGTCTTCCTTTATGAATCTTTCCATAATATGGGTGTTACCTAAACACACAGTGTAGCAGTTGCCATGCCCAGCTCCATCTAGCCCTGTATTCATTCTGCAGGGGTAAGAGAGTATTTGATGGTTAAGTAGAAGAAATAAATGAAGAAAATGCACGTGCAAGTCTTTCACACATACCAAAAAATCAAAAAACTCATCTATTCTTAGGACATGAGACCTTTTCACACCTCATGAAAGAGAAGGAATAATGCTGTTATTTCCAACAATCATTCAGAAGAGTTGTGCAACCCTGGTGTGCAGCATGGTAATGGAGGGAAAGAAAATGGGCTGTTTGCCTGACAACGTCCGTGGACTGATGACTCTGTCACTTTTTCAGTCCAGCAAATCAGGGGAGTCAGCAATTATTGACTTTCAGGCAACCATCCTTGCTAATAAAATCTTACTGCTATTGTACAAGCTCTCAGATGCCAAATAGCACCATGTCTTATTGAAGAGGGAAGGTCCAGTTCACATGTGCACAAAAAAGGGGTCATGGGACTCCTATCCAGCACATAATGTGAACAGACTTCCTAAAACTATAATTTCTGAACCTACAGATTGCATCGATAAATAAAGGTAAAATTTGAAATATGAATAATTTTTATATGACAAACTGCTCATGCTGGACTATGTGAGAGAGATAATTCCAAAACATTTTGATGGGCCAAGATATGGCCACTGAGCTGGGAGCACCAGCTGGGCTCCCTTACTGCCCTTTCTGTCTCGCTTATCTTGAGATAGCTAACCTAGCAGCGAACCTGCAATGTATTTAATATCCCTTTTGCCAATGTTTATTCTATTCACTGATTTTGCAATAAGTAGCTCAAGACTGGAAAGCGGTTAATAGATTTCTTCTCCTGTTTCGGCTTGTTTACTTTAAGCTTTTGGCAGCGTACCAAGCTTTGCGCTCAGTGCCTCCCACTGTCCTCCCCTGTGGCTGCCGGGGGGCCGTCTTAAAGAGGCAAGGGAGAGCAAAAACTACAGGCTGGGGAGCAGAATGGTAGAAGTCACGGAGTCCTTAGCGAGCACATGGAGAATCCAAAACTGCTTTTTGCTCATCACTGAGATACAAAATATTTCAAGTTGAAAGTGATCTGTAAAAACTAAAGTGAACCAAAGCAAGCCAGGGTTTATGGTGGCAGTCTGACTCATAGCCCTTTCAGGGTGCAAGTTCTCTCTCAGCCCTAAGGCACTCATATTTTAAATCAAATTATTGCATTCCCTTCCTGTGGATCATTTGAAAATGTTTACATGTCTTAAATGCCTTTGTTGGTGTAGTCAGCTTTTGTGAGTAAGTTGGGATTTCTTTCATAAAGTTTCCTTCCTCCTATTTTTAAGCAGTGGAGGGGGAGAGGGGGTTATATTATTGCATGCGTATAAATTGCAGCTAAGGGGAAGTATTGTTTTAAGTAGTACTTATCATAGACTTTGAGGTTACATTAAGTGCTAAAGGTCCCAGTGTTTACTTCAGGATTAAGTTCAGCCCAAATCCTCTAAGAGGTTAAAAAAAAAAAAAATCCATTTTTTTTTTCTTTTTTTTTTGTGTGGGTTTCCAGTTAGTGAGGAAGTCTGTTTTGGAAGAAGTTTTGTTTTGATAATATTTCCAGATAAACCAGTTACTGAAAATCCCGTTTCCAAGTATGATCGCAAGGCATTGCAGGCAGATTTCTTTAAAAACTGTTTGAAAAAAGCTATCCAGACTTCTGAGACTTCCCATACTAAAACAACGTTATGATAACTCAGGAGTCCACTTGAAAGAATACATAAAGCCCTGTGTTTTTTATAAAGATGGGTTTCTTGTGTACTGGCTTTGAACCAACAGTATTTATAGTATTGCAATATGGCAGAGAAACTTTCTAGTCTTCCAAGAATTTCAGATTAAGATAACTGTATTTTTTTCCTGTGTTGGTAAAGGACAGTGAACTTCCTGTACAGTGCACCTGCATGCCTGCCAGTAATAGCTTTGTAGAAGATAGGGTTTGGCTTTGTAGAAAACTGGCCTTAGCTCTCAGTGCTAGTTAAGGAATATTAATGTAAAATCAGGAAAGAGAAACCGCTTTGTGTGTTTCAGAGCGCTGCAAGGAGCAAGTGCTTTGTTTGTCTTTTCTTTCTCTTTCCCTAGCAAGCCCACAGAGAAGTCTAAACATAGCTAATCCCATAGGGACACAATGGAAAGTTCAGTTTTATGCTCCAGGAGTACTTTCTGGTCAAGAACAGAGCAGTCCTGAGGCAGGAAAAATTATTTTTTCTCTTTTCCTCTCCTGTTGCAAAACAAATGTCCCAAAGAACAGAAGGCGAACAAATTTAATATGGCAAAAGTTGCAGGAGCAATAATGTATAGATGCCAGGGAAGCTGCTGGTTTGACTTTGGAGAGTGGATTGTTTAACTTGATGGAAACAATAAGTGATGATAAACAAAATTGTTTCAGTTAGGAGTCAGAACCCAGTTTGACCTCTTAGGAGCTGCAGGCAGGGAAGGAGGGAAGCCATAGTTTTGCTGGGATCTAACCAGAGACTTGTGGAAGCAAAGGCGCTTGCTGGGCTGGTCCTTCGCCAATAAGGCAGCAGCGGGACATCTGAGGAGGGGACTTGCAGCTGGGAATGCTGTGTTTATATTTTCTTTCTCCACACCACACAGATTAGATCTGCTTTTAAGGTGGAAAACAGAAGTGTGTTTCTGTGCATTCATGTGTTCCTGTTTGGGCAGGTGAGTCACCTGCAGCCAGATCTTGGCCCTCTGGCTGGAATTTTCCACAATACCTGAAGGAACCAGGAGCACTAGCCCCATTATTTTTAGCACCACATACCTTCTTAACTCATTACAGCAATTTTCAAAACTTTTACCTTAAAAGACCAAAAGTACACTGTAGGTTTTACTGTTTGTAGGAATTTGTATCCAGGCAGTGTTTCTGTAGCACCAGGCTTAAAGCAATGCTCTGCCTAGCGGGACAGAGGTGGGAAATTGGTGCTTTAGGTATGAGATAGGTTTGATATGCTTTAGGTATGCCAGAGACAGAGGCCTGTTTGCCAAACAGCAGATTCAGTAGATTAGCAGCAACCACCAGATTTCAGTCCATTTCCTTTAGCTCTTGAGTTTTATTCCTAGAAGTAAACCAACTTGAATGTATAAAACACATCTTGTCCTCTGACCTCACACAGGGTTTTGATCCCTCCTGCTTTGCCTCAGGAGTGAAGGAAGGTCCTGATGCCTCCTGCTGGTATTGTCCTCCAAAAGATGGGCTGCCAGCTCTCCTCGACAGCCTGTTCCAGGACCTGCCTGGACCTCTTCCCAGCAACTATTATGATGGCCTTTCATGTTGCCTATTTTTGGGTGTTTTCCCCTGTCCAGGTGTCCCTTTGTACAGTCATCTGGTACCTGCAGTGAGGTAGCTTTACAGCTTGGGATAGGCAGCTAACCTTCAGCCTTCCTAAATGTCCAGATTAACTCTTTTAAGGTATTGTATCCTCCCTCAAAATATAGAGAAACAGTATTTCAGGTGACCATGCTGTTGGTAGTTCCTTAAGGTATGCATTGAGCAGCCTGAGCCTCTGTTTCTTACATGAAGCATCTTATTTCTGCTTCTTAGGAGACACTGTGGTTTAGATAGCAAAGAAATGCCAATATATGAAAAATGCACAACTTATTTTACAAATTAAATTAAAGAAAGGACAGTACAATGACGTGTATATTCAGGTGCTTTTTTTTTTTTTTCCTGCTATGTCTGATACTGGAGAGTTTCTGAGGGAGACCATTCATAAAGGGACAAAATTTTTTATGTCAGATGATTCCCAGGTGAATGGAACCCCAAATTAATAGTTTGTGTTTAATTACCTCAGCTACAATGTCTACTGATTGCAAAGACAGGATGTTTAAACAAAAGCCTGCAGATGATTTTCTGTCCTAAAACAGCTAGAGAGCTTTTGATTTTTTTAGGTGAGGATTTTATGAAAAGAGTTCTCATTTAAAGTCCAGAGTCCTTAAATACACCCAACTTGTTTATTGATAGATATATTAATTAAAAAAAATAAAATGTAGATTAATCTATAACTCTGCATTCTTCAGTTTTAGTCCATTTACAGTTCCTCTATGGAAACAGGCCATCCATTTCTTTTCCACTGAGGAGAAAAGCTATTAATAAACCACAAATTACATCCACGTTTCAGTATCTCAGTAAAATCACCACCAATATGAGATCCAACCTAATCCTGGCAGCAAGCCTGTGAGATTGTATCTTGCTCTTGGAAACCTGGGGTTGGTGTTGGACACTTCTGACAGAGCAGATCTTGGGCTGCCTTTTTCCTGCTGTATCTTTCTTCTTTTTCATTTTAATGATTTGTCCTCTTCTCCTTTCCCTTGTATTCTTCTATGAAAGCCTTTGAGTTAGCAAAAGAAATCTGAGAGTACCACAAGGTATTCTGTCATAGCATTGCCTTCAGTGTGTAAGTCATGATACACAAAATCTTCCGTAGCCAGGTTACCCCTACTAACACAGCAAGCTGGCCATAGAAAACAGGGCAAATACCACTGTACCAGGATTTAAGACTGTCTTTTCATCTCTACAGGTTGGCTGTATCCAGAGCAAATTAATTCCTTTAAATTTATAGTTACCCTTGAACTGTAATGTGGTGTCTGTAATCCTAAACCATGAATAAAATAGGATCAAAATTTTATGCATATCTCTAGATGGGATATTTCAGAATATAACCATCAGAGGTGGACTGAAAGGGCAAATAATGTTCTTCAAACTGTACATCAATCTAGAAACATGCTGAGCCCATATGAACATGTCTTTGTAAGTGTGCTTTTCACCTACGCTCAAGAAATCAAGTTTGGTTAGCACAGAAATTTGTTAAAACCACATTTTAGTCATATGCCCAAATACATTCCAAAAATGCATGTGTATATTTGTGCTGTACTCATTCATTTGGTATAGCCAGTGGCCCTTAACCAAGAGGGCTTGAGTGCTGAATCTTATGCCCCCATTATAAAACTGGAAAAAAATATTTAAGTAATAAACCAAATTTGCACTAACAAATGACAGTGAAACAAATCTCATTGATTAATTGTATCCTGTAGCAGTAGAAAACACTTGTCTAATTCAGATACTCAGAGCAAACTTTTTTCTTGACATTTATGAATAATTAGACTCTCACTCTAAAGTCAAGAGGTGGCATGTTGGAAGTAAAAGCAACAGTGAGTATTTTGTTAGAATAAGTAATTGAAACATTAGGCAGCTTTTTCAGGGTATGTGCTTGCTGATGCACAGAAATGAAATGACAGGCGCCTCCTCTTTGCTGTGCTTGTGACCCACAGTTGATTTGAGATGTCTACACAATCAGGGGGAATGCGGATAGGGAAAAAAATGAGAGCAAAGAAAAGTCAAAAGCAGACAACACATGCAGCACCATCCAGAAATATGAGGAAACATGAGCCAGGACTTGAAGTTCTGAAGCTTTCAGCCAACAGAAATACAGTATGTGCAGTTATAATACTTAAATATTCACTCCTTTTTATCTCTTCTGAAAACAGAGAAGAATGAAGAAGAGGAACAGGAAGCCAAAAGAGAAATAAAACGTAGACTCAGTAGAAAGGTGATGATGTGTTTTTTGTATTGTGTATTTGTGTACATAGAATTATGTTTTATAAGAGTCTAAAAATCAGTTTGTAGACATCACTGCAAATGTCCATCAGTCATGTCCCCAGATTAGAAATCTGTTTAAAAAGCAGTACAAGCCAAATCCATGTTGGCAGAAACTCTATCCTGTCCAGTTTCCCACACCTGGAAAAGCATACAGAGTCTGGCCATACTTAATATTTCTCTGTGTAAGCAGGGGAGATAAGGGACACATTTCCTCTGTGAGCTGCCACGTGTGTTTGAGGGCAGCCACACCTGTAGATCCTAGAGCAGTGGAGGGGGCAGCAAAGCAATGTAAGCCCTACAAAATCTCTTCACCGCTCTTCTAACCACATTGGTGGTCCTAGCTTCTGCAGGGGGGATCATGCTCATTGTCCCTGGAAATGGAGCAGTTATGGGTCTGCTGTTCTGGGAGACGATGTGGCGAGTTTTCATAAGTATCCCTAGTCTGTTCTTCTCTGCAAAAATACAGTTTCCTTAATATGATCATCCTCAGTTAATTAAAGTGAATATTTTTTGAGGTGAATGTAATGATTTGGTGTCATAATGACCCCCAGATGGTCAAGACCAGTTTTTTTTTAGTTAGGCAGGTACTTCCAAATCCTGCTTATTTCAGTATTACAGTTTAACACAGCAGACTGTATAGTCATTGATGCAAATGGCCTAGTGGAGTAAATGCTGTGACAGTTGCAAAGTTACAATTAATATTCCGGGGATAACTGTCATGATTCTCTGCGACCTGCCTGACAAAGACTATTTTTATAATTGAAGAAATTAGGTTGTGCTGCCTCCCCATTCCTGCACAGCACTCCCAGGATGATGCCTTTTTATAGACACCTGAAAGTGACCCTATTTAGAAATACCATTAAAGTTCTCTTGAGATTACATCATACCCTCCGCTTTTATTTTACTTTATTTCATCTTATTAAGCATACTATTTTCTGCCTCCTGCTTACAGCTCAGTCTGAGGCCCACAGTGGCTGAACTTCAAGCAAGAAGAATCCTTCGATTTAACGAGTATGTGGAAGTCACGGATTCTCCGGATTATGACCGTCGTGCTGACAAGCCTTGGGCCAGGTTAACTCCTGCAGACAAGGCAAGGGACAAATGTAGATTATAAGAAAATGCTTGCATCTGTTACTTTTGTGGAGTTTTCCTCTGGTTTACATTCTCTTGATGCCAGCATCACAAATGACATCTGCTGGAGACAGCGAGATTGTCATGGTACTACTGTGCATCTATTGCTTGCAGACAAGAAAAGCCACTCAGATACCCATGGAGAGCTATTTGCCACCTCTATTATGACAGTTCAGCCCAGAATTTCTGATCTTTTTTCCTAATTTTTTTAATTTTTAAATCCTTGCTTAGCCAGATAAATGGTTAGCAAAGGTGGCCCCAGCCTGTGGAACTCAGATGAATTCTGCCACCGAGGATTACTTTTGCAACTCATTTGAGTGAAAAAAGGTAGAATCTGCCTTATCCTCCTCAGGGATCTTGGCCACAACAGCAGTGCAGGAGCTGACCCTGTGCATGCAGTACAACTTCTTGGGAAGTTTGCCCCTAAAATGTACAGCTTATAGTTCCTCTGCCTAACTACAAAGGATGAGACAAAAGATTCTGTGACTCTCATTTGAAAAACAGATCAAAGATTACCATAAAATACTCTTCCATTTCCATCCTCTACCACTTAATAAAGGGAAAGCTGTAGGATTTAGTAGCAAAAAGTACTGACCCTTTTAGCAGTGGGTCTGAACCTGTTTTTATGGAAGTGCGATGAGATGTGCTTGACATGAAAAGTGGTATGTGGAAGCACACTGTCTTTTAGCTAAACATGATGAAGCACTGATTTTATTTCAGCTTGCATTTTTTTAATATTAATAATAAAAACCTGCCAGCTCATCTGACAGTCAAATGAGAATCTCATATCAAGTCAAGGTGGAGACATTAAAAATGTAGCCAGAAGTGTTTGTTGATGTTGTTTCTGGGAGGTGCTGAGCATTGTCTAGTCCTCACGTAGTGTGTGGGAGATTAGAGCACCCAGCTCCTCCACTTTGACTTGCACTTTGTATCAGCCAGGGCACAATGAACTATTAAAAACAATGGAGTTTTCTACCTACTTCAGTATAGCAGTTTTTAATTTCAATTCACTTTGTAATGAACAGGTGCCCAAAGCTGGTTCTGTGAGCCCCATGTTTGTTGGCCTTAGCAGAAAGGCATACCCAGGCTGCCTGGAAACTCCCTCACCCTTTTTTTTTTTTTTTCCCAGGGAAGTCATTCTTCTAACTCCAGTGGGAGCAGAAAATTGTACTGTAACTATATTAGGGAGCTGGAGCTCTGGTGTCTTTGCTGCTGATTTGGTGCTCAGAAATTGGTGCCCCTTTCCTAGCTATAACAGCAGTTTCGTGTAAGCATGCTGTTGTGGATAAACAGAACCATCCCCTGCTTAAAATGAAGTTTCTCATTTATGAGACTGCAGTCTGGTGATGCTATAATTTTATCATGCTGCTTGCCTGTTCTGCATTGAAAAGCATACACACCAGATGACATTTCTTTAGGGCTTAATGAAATGATACTGTCTTTATTTAAACTAGGGAAAGAGTAAGAATAAACTGCCATTTCCTTTCACAGTGAAGGTAGGAACGTGCGTGGCATAGAAATAAAACCCCTTGTAGTATATTAGAATATTTCAGAAATTATTACTTGATGAACTAAATTGTTTATCAGTCTCTTAATATAAGCAACAAAGCATTTACAAATGCACTGAATTTCTGCTGTTCCTCAGTATCTGCCAATTGAAAACACAAGCCTGAAATGTCCAAATATTTCATGTCATTTTACATAAAACTAATCACACCAAATGACTAATTCCACTTTAAAGCAATTGCTGAAAAAATCTTGCATTCCTGAAGACCTGTCTCCATTGGGGAGATAGAGACAAGGCCCCTGCTGTGTGCACGGTGCCTGTGCAGGCAGAGTGACTCAGGGGCTGTGCCTGGAGATACAACCCCCTGCTGACTGCATATTCATCAAGTGATTGCAAAATAACCCAATCCCTTGCCCGTTTTTGTCTGCAGGAAGTGGTGTATTTCATATTTCAGTAGGGGCTTGGTTCACCCACTGAAGTAGACTTGGTGTTTCTTTGTTTATTGTTGGTGCTTGATGCTTTGGGTTTCTTTGTCATGTAAGACTGCTTCAAACAGTTGTAATTGAAAAAAGTAATTCATGTTGATCAGAAATGTGTGAGAGCTGTGGATTATAGTAAGGGAGACTTGAAATGGGAACTGTAAGGAAACTGCAAGAGTAGGGCCAGGTTCCTTTCCTATTCATTACTTTCCTTAAAATTCATATTTCTTAAAGTTGCATATATCATTATTGTTTATTAGGCAGCAATACGGAAAGAACTGAATGAATTTAAAAGCACAGAAATGGAAGTACATGAGGAAAGTCGGCAATTTACCAGGTGGGTGAATCCCTCTTCTTGCATAAGTGTGAGACATGGGTATGACAGCAACCCTCTGCCTTTCTGCAAGTCCTCTGCAGTTGTGTCATTATTAGTATGGATTCCTACCATGAGTCCCCTTGAATTTCACCAGTGATTCTGTTAGAATTCCCAGTGTTGCTGATGCCATCTCTAGTTGATACACCAGTGAAGGTGACTGCAATGGATTGGTTGCTACACAGAAAAAGATTGTTTGGGGCATCTAAAAAATAGCTTGAAAGAACTCGGTGGTTCTCAGAGCTCAAGTTAGTAGTCCTAAAATGCACAAAAATAAAGGGATTTCCTTCTCTGGCAGCACTCCCTTGCTCATGAAAGCATACATTTTTGTAGATACATTTGCTAAGTGAAAACTAGATTATGTGTTGAACTTCAGAAAAGCCAGTGTTTTGGCGAGCTTTCTAAGGGTGGGCTCCTGGCAGCAGTTTCTAGGGAACAAGATAGATTCCCTTTTTGCCACTTCTAATCCGTTAATCTGGATTTGTTTTGTTTTCTGCTTTGGATAACATGAAGATGTTGTCTGAAGCATTATTGTTTTCAAGAGCTCTGAAGTGTCCATAGTTTTTAGCAGGCCTTAGAATTTGGCAGGTATTCCTAGGGGGAGGGAGACGCTTCCTGTCATCCCCATGGCACGTGTTCATGTTTCTTGGAAGTTACAGAGGCTGAAAACGGACACCAGCAAGCAAAACTTGATGTTAGGATCAGCCAACATGGTGTACATAGTATTTTTGTCTTTGCTTCTACAGAGAATTAAGTCAAATAAAACTAATTGCCTAAGACTGGGTCCTTTCTGTTGCAACCAAACTCAGGATCCAAGCTAGTGAGTGTGAATCTTCTAATTTAAGAGTGTATAACAGGAAAATTCACAATGGGATATAGGTGTTTCATGCATCTCCTGCTTCATTGCCTGATTTCACAACTTCAGTGATTTCTTTCTCACCAAAACATGGTGGGGTTTTTTTAAATAATAATGTAAAGTCACTTCTGTGTAGATACAGCATGAACAAAATAATTTTAAAGAAGTCAAACCAGTTTCACAGACAGCAAACCTAAGATAGGAGATGAACCAGGAGGCAAGGTTTTAATTTAGTGTCCCATTCAAACCATTAGAAAATGTTCTTTTCAAACCTGAAGATGTATATTTTCATTTGGCTTCTGATGCCATTGTCTCTTCAGCTACTAGGTAGTATATCTTTTCAGAATATATAAAAATACTGGTTTTAAAAAAAAGGACATCCCAAGGTAGAGAATAAAAATAGCAGTTATAGAAATCAACCCCCTGCTTACATTGTTGTGTTTCCTGAGTTGCACTACAATATCAAAGCATATGTACAGATAGGCATGAGTCATACAAAAAGAATTGGACATTTTTTAATGAGATTCAAAACCAGTTAAGACTTATTACAGTTGGATTCTTGAAAGCTGAGCCAGGAATCCAGTGGAGTGACAAACCAGTTAAAAAGTGAATTATTTTTTTCAAGGAGGGCCTTAGAAAATGGAGTAAAAAATAGGCACAGCCAAATAATGGTAAATATAAGCAATGGTTCCATAGGGTCCCCAAAGAATTTCAATGTGAGAGAAATCAGGTTCTCTCTGTTCCCTCTCCACCCTCTTTTGTTGCACTGATCATGTTGTAGAGTCACTGCACAGAAGTCAGAAGAGTAACACTAGAAAAAGCTAATTAAGAGCAAAATAAGATGCAGATGTTTTAAGTTAATTGCAATTTTGAAAATAAAAAGAAATCCCATTTCCTCTGGGACCTCTCATTAAAAATTATGTAGTTTCTGCTACATTTGGATTGATTTAAAAAAGTGATTTAAGAAAACCAGAGACAGAAATCTCTAGCTAGAGATATTGATTCTTTCCAAGGAGATCACTGAAGTAATGCAAACTAAAAGGCACTTGCATTGGCAGCTGGTTAACAAAGCCTTATTTATCAAGTTCTGTGACAGAATGAGACAACAAAGCTACTTACTAAACAAAAAATAGTTTATAGGATATGGTTTCCTATATTATTACAGATTAAATTTAAGATGCTTTAATATTATAATCAGTACTTACAACATATTTGAATTGTTAAAATTTTATATTAAACGTGAGAAATTAAAATTGTTCATCATTTACAGTAATGACTGTCAGTTTAACTGGTTTTCTACTCCTAGTAATTTGGACTGATTCTTTCTGTTATTTCATAAGAGAATCCAAGAAACCAAGTTTTTAAAAATAGAAGAATAAATAGAAGTTTGGAAAGAGGTTATTAGTAGATGTTTATTAAGTGTTTCCAATGGAAATGCTATATATAGTCCATTATATCGTTCCACACAAATACAAAAATCCTGTGTCTTTTTTGCAATCCACTATACCCTCACTTAGCAGAAGAGCTGCATACTTGTGAATGTCAGCTTTTGTGTACACCTCCTTTATTGGAGAAATGCATCCCTGTATTGTACTGAATCAGCTTGTAATGTGAGGTGGCATGTGGCTTGTTTTCTCTTCTCTGGAACTGTTAAGAGAAAATGTGTCAAACAAAAACTTAGATAAATCCATTGCATTACATGCCTTTTTTCAAGCTGTTGCATCTTTTACTACTTCATGGACAGATACATTTTATAAGCCATTTAAAGAGATATTTATGTCTGGTGATCGATACACTGAGAACCTGATAATAGTGGCCGCCTTACCCTTTTGCTTGGATACATTACATTTAAGATGAGTTAGAATTTCAATTGCTGTAGGTTTCCTAACTTATTGTAGAAAAGGCTGGTGACACCTTTTGGAGCAATCCACCTCTCTAGGCATCATACAGGCATTCTGGAGCAATGTACATGCTCTACCTAAAAGCATAAAAAACAATGAAGTATATTTGGGCCTTCATGTGCCTCAGCTGTTATTAGGAAGAAAGCATCTGCACTGCTACAAAATTTGTTGCTTACTTTAAAAAAATACAGCATTTTTGTTAGCTTCATTTTGCACAGGGATTAAACCCCAGAAATTTAAATCTTATGGTTTAGCAAAGCTTTTTGCATAGTAGCTACTGTCATCCAAATAGTGGATGCAATTATGGGTAGATCTATATGGGCAAACAAAACAGACTGGACGTTGTTCTCTGGCCCTGAGGCAGGCTTGGCATAGCTTGCATTCATACAGTTGGTTGACCCAAGCCAAACCATGCCAGGGACCACAGTGACAGGTTAATGGTATGGACAGACAGTGCTTGAGCCACACCAAATCCCTGTTTGGTTTTATAAGTAGAGAGAGAGATGAAGAGCGAGGGATAATAGGTATGCCTCTAAACCCACATAGACCAGGAAAATCAGAAATAATTCTGTTTGGGCCAAAAAAGTAAACAGCTATGAGAGCAGGATGAGGATCATGTTCATAGTCAGTTGAAATAATATAATTCCAAGCTTTTTAATTTATCTTTTCAGGTTTCATCGTCCATAACTGTTTGACCACATCCAGTATTTCATGTAACAATTTTCTTTGGGGAAATCATTGCATCCTGAAGATCTGAGATTGCACTGGAACTTGAGTATGAGTGTGCGCTACAGCTTTCCCTGACATTAATGAAGAAAGTGGCCCTCGTCATTATAAATGGACAAATGATTTGTCTAGGAGGAGAACCCACGCGAAGCATTTGTCCGTGTTCAGACAGACCACGGTTCTGTGGCTACTCCACATAGACAAGTCAGTGGACTTCTTCATCAGAGCTCCACAAGTCAGGAAGTGCTGAAGACAATCGCTTGAGAGCCTGCTACCAGGAACTCATCAGATTTCATAGGGTTGTGACTGAGGGTAACTGAGAGGGAGGGAGTGTGTGAAAAGGACTGAGAGCTGGGGGAAGAGAGTCTTCGCTTGTCAGTCCACAGAGAAAAGTGGAATGGATGGAACTGCCTAATGATGCACAGTGGGGAGAATTATTTAAAGAGGAAAAAAAAAAAGAGTGTGTGAAGCAACTGTGCATGTTTTGGTTTTTTTTATTTTTTTTTTAGTGGCTGCAGCCTGTCTTAAAAAGACGGCAAGCCATAAGTCCTCATGTCATCAGTACTTTTAGTGAAGAACTGTCATTTTCTTTGGTGCCAGTAAATACAGTTGCCAGAAATTAGTCCTAGTATAACTCATCTGTCTTTTTTAAAATCCCAGTGTGCATGCTTCAGGAAAATACATTGAACGTTCATACAGAACAAGCCACGTAATTTTTGGTTTTTATTGTTGACATACTCTGTATCCTCAGAAAGACATAAACAGGATTTGAAGAACAAATAACATTCAGTGAAATGTTTCATGTTTAGAAACACTCCTTGCTGTCTGTCACTTGCCATTCAAACCAGAGGGATCATTATCTTTCTCATTGTGGCAGGCAGTGGTGACTTTGACATCATGCCAGTGTGAATAAAATTAGGCACAGAAGTCTTTGCTAGTATGCCTGAGCAGTGACTAATGTGACTTTTTACATTTAAGGACTCTTGCATTGCTTTGAGGAAGAACTCCCAGATGAATCAGTATGTCTTCAGCCAGTGGTCCTGTAAAAGTGAAAGGGAAATCCTTGGAGTGTCTGCAGCCTGCTTTTGTTCAGTGTGAAGAATGCTTCTTAGATTCGTAATTTTTTATACTATCTTGAAATTGTATATGTGAATACAGTACTATTAAAATTAAGTGGTATGGAGTGTGAAAGGCAATACATGATTTTTCTAAGTTGGCCCAAAGGCTCGTTAAAAAGCCTATGGCATTGTTTACACTAAGAAATTATCTGTCTTATATTAGCACTTATTTATCCTTTGATTAATGTACACAACATTTGGGGGGTGGGTCTGGAATTCACATACGCATACTTTTAATGCAGTATTACAGTATATTTGCTATTTATCCTTTCTAATGTGTGTACATATTACAATTTATTTTTGTCTTCTATGTGCCCTGTTCAGTTTTTAATTATGAAGTGTAAGTATTTCTTTTTCTGGCAATAAAAGGTCTGTGTAGATGTGATTTTTACCTCAGTAAACCTGCCGTAGATTCTTGTGGAATGTTTTTAGTTTATAAAATTGAAGTTTGTTGTTTTAGATGTCAGCCTAAAGGCAGAAAGGAGATTTGGTGGCTAAAATTAGATATCCCTCTTCAGTGCTATTTTACAGCAAGACCAGGTTTGCATAAATGGGGTGGATTATTTTAGCAAAGAGGACTTCTAATAAGAGGAGAGTGCGTTCCAACAGCCGTCACTCTATTATTTTTAAAGAGATTGGCAAACCTTTTTTAAAGAAGATTTTTATGACAATAGGATCCCTTACTATTTTAGTAAAAAAATCTAATGAGGTTCAAGGCCCGAAATATCAATAACCAAATAAAATAATCATCTACATGCTTGTAGCAAAGAAAAGCAAGCAGCATCTTCCTTTTTTAATGGAATCAATAAGAACCATTAGGATTCCATTTGCAGAAAACAATTTAGCTTCTGGGAGGTCCATCGTTTTATAAATATAGAAGCACCACTGACATCAAGGAAGCAGTGAAAATGTATTCTTTGGCACTACATCATGCAGGAATTATCAAGCCATTAGAGTTAAGGGTTGTCAGCAATTCTGGTACAATGCTAATTTTTATTTTTAGAATTCGATGAGTAAACTTAAAGGTTACACTAGAATACTTCTGCTTAAACTTTTTTTTCTTTTTTGGCTGATGTTGCCAAATTTAGAAATGTGTGTCTAAAATCATATAAAGGTCTACTATGTTGACTTTGAAGTATAAAACATATTATTTCACTTCAAAGGAAATGAGTGAAGCAATTAAATAGACCTCAGTGTTGCCTTAATCATATTGAAACACTTGAAAGCAGCCAAGATACTAAAGGCAGAAAGATAGCTGTTGCACAGGCAGAATAACTTGGACAAAGGTAAGGTCAGACTGTATATGCTTTATATAAGACAGCAACTCCACTCACATGCCAGGGTACATAGGGGTTACATAAGCAAAGTAAAACTTGCTAAACTCTTAGGATGAAGTGAAATATTTGACTTTGCAAGAAGATATTCCTCTGTTCTAGGCCTGGAGCGTGAATGGAAAGTCATGTGCTGCCTTTTCATTTTATTAGTTAAAACACAAAGGTGAGGATACAACTTCTGGCTCAGACTTCTTCAAGCTGCACTATGTCATAAGAAATTAGGATACTTAGGTGAGGTATCACTTTTAGGCTTTTCCTATCCTCCTTCTAGGGTTGGAGGTTTTTTTAAAGTATTCACTACAAGCCATTGCTAGAGGCAGAAAACTAGCTTCAATGGAGATGCTTAGTTAATTTTTAATTTCTTATTATTTTGATGATAATCAGATACATTCTTTGACCCACAATTCAGCAAACTAATTAAGCAAATTTATGTAACTGGACAAAAAGATTTGCCTTTATTGAAACTTATGTAAAAATGTAGTATAGTTGCAGAATTAGAACTATAAACTATCCACTGTGTATTATACCCACACATAGACATAGAATTATATATACTATTTTTATATTCTAAAGATCAACTGGCAGAAAAACAACAGCTGGAAAGTGTTATCCATGCAATAAAAAATGAGAATTTGGTATGTCACTATGTGAAGTGAAGCAAGTTTGCTTTACCTTATTGAGGTGCCTGAAGTCTGTTTCTGCTGCATCTTCTAGCCCTCTATATTGATGATTTCAAATGTCTTCAAGTTGCATCAACAGCCCATTGGAAAAATAATACGCCATATACTTGTATGTGGGGTCGCATGCCTGTTAGAAGATAAAAATCAGGATAAGTCCTGGGAAATTAATGAGTAGTCCTTGAGGAAAAAATAAAAATATGTTGAAAAGGCAAAGAAAAAATAACACTTTCCATGCAACATATAGTACAGTCCAGCTGGCTAATAGGGAGCAGTGTGTTAATTTTTTATCAAACTGGACAAATCATTTAAATGCCATCCACTACATATGACAAACCTTACACATACCTAATGTTACACAGAATCATATATGAACTCAGATGTCTACAGCCACACAATGAGAAAATGAGTAGCTTGAAGTAGTGGTTTCTGAAATTACCTCATATATCTACATTTATCAGTAGAATCATGCATCAAACCATGTTGCTGTGGGAGCAAAAGAATGGATGCTTAATCAAATCCTAATTTCTTCTTCACATAAAAAATTTAAATGGTTCTACAATGTCTCTTGTCTCTCTCCTTTCAGGTAATACATATTAGTCTTTTTAACTGAAATACAGGCTATATGAATTTTCTCAAATTGCGATATATATTTTACTCAACAAGTAAAAAAAAAAAAATAAACCAAATGCTAATGATTACTTAAGCTAAATACCATTTCAGCCGGTGATTTGAAACATGTTAGGACCAGGAACACCATCTCTTCAAAATCACTGAAAGTATTCATGGCCATTTTTAGGTCTACAAGACTGCATTTATCTGTTGGGTTTATCATTTACCTACAGTTGTCCATGTCCCTTGCTGTGGTGGCCTTTCCTGACCTCTGATGTGGTGTGGGGCAGAGCAGTCCCACCACCTGCTCTGGCCACACTGAGTACCTCTTAGAGAAGCGCCGCAGTCTCAGTGTTGATATGTAAAAACCATATCAGGTAACCACTTCTTACTTTTTAACTTGAAATGAAAACTGTGAAATAAAGGCATTAAAGTATCCCTGATATTAAAAAATAAGACCACTCCTTCCAGGTGAGATTAGTGCTTTGTTTCTTGCAGAAATGCTTCAAACTCAAGAGCTGTAACAAGTACTACTACAGCTGCACCAGAGAATTTGTTTCAAAACAGCAGTCATTTAACCTGACTATAAATTTAATCTGAGCCCTAATTTTGTACATCATAAGGTGGGAGGAAGATCCATTCAGCAGAGACTGAAAAGGTCTAATCTAATCTGGCAGCCTGGAAATCAGCTGAAATCCCCTCATCATCTGCAGCTGGCAGGGGTTGGAGTCAGGATAGGAAGAGCCACGCCATCACCTGGCTACCTGGCAGGTCAGGTCTGTGTGAGCACTGCTGGCATCCTAAGCAGGGACTAGAATCTCCACCCATGTCTTAATGACTGTTAATGCTTTAATGATAAAGCAAACCAAGCTAAAAGCCTATGTTTGCATGAAACTGTCAGGCACACCTGAACTGCATATTTTAATGCTTTCACATCATCTCTTTTCAGTCATATCTTGAGGAGTTAAGACTTGTGCCACTGCTGCAAGCTGAAATAAAAACATACTCGGGGTGGAAAAAAAAAAAGGATAAACTTGCCTCCTGCCTTTAGTGGCCACATTTAGTTCCATTATTGTTTCTATTTGTACTCTTACTGTACCAAGCTCAGTGAAATGCTCACTGTTGGGACGTAGATTTTAATAGAAAAAG